TATCCTTTTGGTTCATGCTGAGTTAGAATCCCTGCATTCCTATATATACCTTAGAATCCAACTAATTTGTCACACAACAAGCCCTTCAACAACAGGCAGGGAGCTGAATACTCCTTCACTAAAATGGCTCGTTCAAGCACTGTTTTGCTTTTCGTTATCGTCGTTTTGATCTTCCATCCAGCATGTTTTGAAGCTAGAAAGCTTTTGAACTTTGACAAGGAACAAGCTCCTTCATTCGAGGGCGATTTTGCCGGTGCTGATGATAAAGGGCAGGCAATGGCTAATAACGAAAGGCTGTTTGCCATTCATCTAGCCAAAATTGATAGAATATTGCAGTCTACCCCCAGTCCCGGAGGCGGTCACCGTTAAAATGGCATTAAGGATCCGTTGTCATTCTCCTATATTATATCAAACAGGCATGGTCATTATTCTATGCTTGCATTTTTACAGTACAGATTGTATGCCTTTCTATTTGATTTTATTGGGGTTTTTTCTTGTAGTTTGGGCTTGGGGGCTTAATTTATTAATATATGTATTCAATGTGGTTTGCTATGAATAAGAAATAGTTCCAGCTTAATATCAATTTTGATTAGAAGGAGAAACCCTGCCGCTCACTCCCTCCCCCTATCTTTCCCTTTTTCTTCATTATAATTTGTGTCAATTTTTACAGATCAAATCAATTTTTTCTTTCTTAATTTTGTTTAGTCAACGACGACACCGATTTTGATATTGGTTGTCGACCGTCGGTTATCTTTTCTTCCTTTCTTTTAATTTTTTTAATAAGAATAATTTTGTTTTTGTGATATGTTTAACTATCCTTTATGACACGTTTATCTATGTCTTTATGACAAGTTTATCTCTACCTTTGTGGCATGTTTTTCTCTATCTTTTGATATTTTCGGTCGTTTGGTCGCTGTTTTCGTTTATCTTTTTTTCTCAATGTTCGATTTGACATCGTCACGACGGATCAAGATGACGCTTATTTGTTATGATGTTGATCTTCCCTGCTTTAGACCCTCATATTGATTTTTATACGTGTTTTGCGCTCGTGGATAGTTTTCTCACGTCGTTTGACCTGATTTGTGATTTGTCGATGATCCTTCAATAGTTTTATTCCCTTTTGTGGTTCGTTTGCCGATATGATCGTTGTGTGATTTAGGTTGTTAGTTTTTGTCTTAATGATTATAAGAAAATGTTCTAATTATAATTTAGTTTACGTTTATAATTATACTGGTAAATTTTCATTATAATTATGGATATTTATTATGTTTAATAAAATTATAGCCTTTCTATAAAAAAAATTCTTAATCATCTCCCTTTATCGCTTTGATTCTCATTTTGCGGCACTAAATTTAGGGTAAACTACTAAAATGACCATTTAATTATAGAGTCAGTGTCGATATGACCTTCATACTTTTAATTTTAAAAATTTGACCATATAATTATTTAAGAATTTCCAATGTAGCCACTTACCATTACAAAGTAAATGGTGCATCTGATGTGGACCCTTGACTTTCCATTAGTTAATGATAATCATATCAGTTACGCTATTTGTTTTGTAATGACAAGTGGGCAAGTAGTTACATTGAAACCACTTAAATAGTTAATTATATTGTCTTATTGTCAAAATCAAAAGTATGGTGGTCATATCGATACCATCCATAATTGAGTGGTAATTCGAGTAGTTTACCCTTAATTTTAATAGTATTAAGTTGACTAGCTTTAATGGCAGATTCTCAACAATACTAGAATTCTAAACTTTTCATCATCTAACATTCAACAACAATTCCAAAAAATTCTTCATGTTTATCATCATCATCATAATCATAAAAAACTTGGGTAGTATTCAGTAAACTTTAACATTGATCATGGTGTATTTGAAGGTGGCCTACACAGGCAACCGACAGTGCTTTCAATAATATGCCTTTCATGTGTATACGATTCATTGAATCCAGAAATGCCTTCAAAAGATAGCATACATGAGCTGCAAATCAAAACTAACCCAATGTCTACATTATGACGATCTCCATTAATCCCCATAATTTTGTGCCTATTACTGCTTTTGAAGAAAGTCTAACCAGGCTCCCATGTCAATGGAAAAAGTTACTGCAAAGATAGTGTTGGTGGCTTTTCAGTTCAAATGTACCTAACCCAATGTCTCAAGAGTAGGATGGCAATTGAATCCAAAATCGATGGATCTTTATCCGTTTTGATCTGATAACATCAGATTTTTAAAAATAATCGGATTTAAGTTGGATGGAGAGTGAAAAAAAAACTTTGATCTGACACGACTCGAGATAATAATGTAATTTTTTTATAAAAAAATTATTATTATTTTAATTTAAGTCTTATTTTGTATCGGATCGCATCAGATTTATACTCTAAAAATTTGAGTCGGTCGGAGTTGGGTAGTTGATATATATTTTTCGGGTCAGATGGAAAATATATAATTTTTGAATCGGATCGGATTCAGGTGGGAGATACATAATTTTCGAATCAGATCGGATTGACCAAAAATCCGACTCAATTCGACCTTATCTCATCCCTACTCAAGAGATATTCTCATATACTTTGTTCTAAAAACAGTAACTTTTCAAATTAAATCAAATTTGATTCACCTTAATCAACACTCCATATTAGTAAAGGTGACTCACAAGTCACAACGTAGCAATACTCCGATGAGTAATTACTCTATTATCAGTTTTATTACAAATACAAATTTAAATCTCGAGAGATTCAAAATACCGATGTGCATCGGGGGCTTCAGAATAATAAAATGAAGGATAAACCACACGGTAAACACTTAATTATGGTCAAAAATCATTTTGACTATCAATGTTTCGATTTGATCAATCAGACCACCCAACTATTTAAATACTTCAATCAAACCACTCTCCGTTAACATTTAACGGAGGAGGTGACGTGACAGTTAAAAATTTTTGGTATAATTACATAATTGGTTTCTACTATTTATAAATTCTTTTAATTTGGTCCTAATTTCAATAAATCAAAATAAATTTAACCCTCGAATTAAGAGATGTCATGTCATTATTCGATTGAAAGACTACATTTATTTGAATTTATTTTAGTCCTTCAATCGAATAATGACATGAAACCTCCTGATTCGAGATTAAATATATTTTAATTTATTAAAATTAGGACCAAATATAAAGAATATATAAATAACATGGACCAATTGTGTAATTATTCAAAAAAAATTAACTGAAATGTCACCTCATCCGTTAAATGTTTTACGGCGAGTGGCTTGATTGAAGCATTTAAATAGTTAGGTGGTTTGATTGATCGAATCGAAACATCGGTGGTTAAAATGATTATCGACAATATTTGAGAGCTCACCCGTGTAGTTTACCCTATAATTGATAAGAGTAAATTATATCGTGACTATCTAACTATTGTCTCTTTTCATTTTGACCATCATTTTAAAAATTTGGTCAATTAGATCATTTTACTATTTAAATGTGTTCAATTAAGTCACTTGTCGTTAACATTTAACGAAGAAACTAACGTGGTAGTTAAAAACCTTGATATAATTACACATTTGATGATTTTTACTTACATATTCTATCAATTTTGTCCTAATTTTAATAAAATTAAAATAAATTTAACTCTCAAATCAAATAGTGCCATGTGTCATTGGTGCCCAGTGTAATGAAACGTGTCACCATCCAATTGGAGGATTAAATTTATTTAATTTAGTATATATATTTCCCATCAATTAAAGCGTGACATGTGTCACCTTCTGGTGGAAAGAAAATTTTTAGCACTGGAATGAAGCCTAAGGGAATCGAACCTGGTTAAATAGGTGATGATACAAAATTTCAACCATTAATCTTCCGATCGGATGGTGACACATGTCATTACACTTAGCACTAGTGACACATGATACCATTTGATTTGAGGATTAAGTTTATTTTAATTTATTAAAATTAGGACCAAATTGATAGAGTATGTAAGTAACAGTGACCAAATGTGCAATTATACCAAGTTTTTAATTGCCACAGCAACTTCTTTGTTAAACGTTAACGGCAAGTGGCTTAATTGAATGCATTTAAACAGTTGGGTGACCTGATTGATAAAATTTCAAAAATAATGGTCAAAATAAAAAGGGGAAATAATTAGGTGATCAATGGTATAGTTTACCCTAATAATAATAATTCAAATCAAACCGTGGTTCACGTTCCTTGTTTTTAAAACAATGACATACATAAACGTGTAGGACATAGCCTGCATCTGATAATTCATAAGTTCTTGTCAGACTTAACATGATCAAATTCAAACCTGATAATCATTTACGGTTTCTCTTAAGTCAAATGCTTTCTATTTCATGGCAGTTGAAACCCTAATTATGACAGAAGGACAATAATCAGGCAACAACTCTTGTAGGTCTTCTTTCATGGCTGATAATTGTATGATAATTGTCCAAAATCATGCAATCTTTTAACATAAACCCAACCCTCCAAATCACTTGGACCATCAAATTTAATGTCTATAGAGCAAGATAATATTGAATGTGTCCCCCCAATTCAATGCTTCCCCGATATTGATGCCACAACTGTCCAATTTTGAAGTCCTTTTCCACATAAACTTTGAATTGGAGTGGATTTTTGTTTTCTTTTATCTAAAGCCAAAGCTCACCCATTGTCAGGTGATACATATCAATCAAAACATATAGATATATGTATCATCTTTAGTATAGTTATATTCGGGTAAATTACGTGTTTAGTACTTAAACGGGTCAAAACCGATAGTTTAGTTACTAAAATCATATAGATATATGCGTCATTTTAGTACATGTTCAAAATTTAACGTTAAATTTAAAAAAAAATGAAAATTTAAGTACTAAAACGGATCAAAACTGATAATTTAGGTATTAAATATGTAATTTACCCATTATATTATTCGTTAGATTTTGTATTGCATTTTTTTGTATTATTTATATAATATGAACTTTATTTGTCACTATCTTATTCGAATAAATTGCCCGCCTAGCTCAGTTGGTAGAGCTCAAGGCTCTTAACCTTGTGGTCGTGGGATCAAGTCTCACGGTGAGCAATTCATAATTGGAGGTCTTCCACGGAAGTTGCTCTCAACCTGACGTTGGGGGCAGCCTACTACCCTACCTCCCTCTTACCCCATTACATATGAGAATATGGTCAGCTAATTTTTTTTATTCGAATAATTTTAAACACGATAATAAATTAAAATTATGAGTAAATTACGCATTTAGTATTTAAACTATCAGTTTTGATCTGTTTTAGTACTTAATTTTTAATTTTTTTCAAAACCATGTCTAACGTTTAATTTTCATTTCATTTTAGTACCGTAACTATAACTTAACGCGTTCAGTACCTAAACTATTAGTTTTGCTCCGTTTTAGTACCTAAACTTTCAATTATTTCAAAACTTAATGTTAAATTTAGAACGAGTACTAAAATGAAACAAAAACTAAAGTTTTTAACGGTAGAGTACTAAAATGAAACAAAAACTAAATTTCAGCTATGATTTTAAAAAATTGAAAGTTTAAGTACTAAAACGGATCAAAACTAATAGTTTAAGTACTAAACGCATAATTTACCCTAAAATTATTTCTTTGAACTCCACAAGACTTGCAAGGTTAAGTCTGGGTTAAAAGTTAATCTAGATTCTTTACATATATATATACATACACGAAGACATGGAACCCAGATCTTAACAAAAAAAAAATACAGAGCTACAAGATAAATATGGAGACAAAAAGATAAGCCCTTCTGGCAATACATGGCATGGCACCACATAAATATGTTCCAAGAACTATATAATTATGTACATACAGAAAGCATCAGAGTATGGCAATAATGGCAAACATAACTGTCCCAAGAGATTAACAAAATTGGGGGAATGTGTCTTACAAACAAATTAGCCTTTCATTTATCATTAAGGCCATATAAAATAAGGACGAATCCCCCACAACAACCATCCCCAAATCCATGTCCTCCAAGGACTACCTTGTCTTGAATTGTGATAGATAGACCTGGCATTGAATTACAGTTCTTCGGATCCGAAATCCGGGGACGACGGTGAACGCGACTCTTGGTTCCGATTCCGGTGTGAATTCGGACGAAAGGAATGCTTCCTCACCTACACTTTCCATGTACACTTCTGAGAACCTACACCCTTTGCTTATTTGAAAGATTGATGCCTCTGGGACGAAAGAGAGTGCTAGGCAATGCAGAAGCCAAACCCTTTTCGCCATTTCGGCAAACGATGTGAAGAATGTTGTGTCTGGGAATTGATAGGAACTCGACATTTCTCTATTGCTCAAATTGCCAAAGAATGATGATTCCATCTGCAGAATTTGGCGAATGTTGATTTCGGTTTCATGGCTAGATATTCAGTAACTTTGATGGATTTGAGTTCTGTAAACTGATCGAAGAAGACTCGGGGATGTTTCTTCGATTCTGGTACCGAGCTGCCAAAAATGGAGAAATATGGTAGGTGGAAAGATTTGAACATTTCCCTGCAAATGAAGGACTCAAATGCGAGACATTTATCATCTTCCTTCCAATACACCACGCCTCTTTCGATCGAACTTGCGGCCGCATCGATATCCCAATCGGCCAACTTCATTTCATCGATCATCAGCCTGACAAAACTTCGAATCGACTTAACGGTTTGTTTAAGGACGGTGATGAATTGGGTGGAATTTAAACCGGAAAGATGGAGGTTGTCGAGCACGACTAACTGGCCGCTTTGGTTTAATCTCTTCTCCAGTGATCTGTTTTGCTTGTTGGATTCATCCAGTTTTTCCCGGAGAAAAATTATCTCAGACTCTTTGAGTCTCGCCTGAGATTCCAGTTTCTTTGCCGTGATTTTGAACGTCGTCGAAAGGCTTTTCAGTTCCTGGATTTCGGCTAAAGACATTGCTTGTTCTGGGGAAAAATCGTATTGTTTCTTCGAGAAACACCGCTTCAGTTCCGACAGTTTTTTCAAGTCGGAGACGATGATCTGATCGGCTCCTTGGATCCCTTCAGCATAGTAAGGAGACTGAGCCAGCTGCAACTGAGCATATCCTGCTTTAATACCCGAAACAGCAGCAAATATTTTAGCAACAATCGCTTCCAGTGCCACCTTCGTTTCACGCTCTTCATCGTGTAATCTGTCAAATTTCTGGGACAATCTCTTGCTCGTCTTACAATAATTCCATTCTTCGGTTTCCTTATACAGCTTAACCTCGTGAACGCCGTCGTCCGGGACAACCCCCGCCGCCGTCGCGTGCCGGTGAAGGACTCTCGATAAAGTTCGAGACCATTTGCTCTTCGATGGAGTAACAGCCGATGGCCTCACTGCTTCCATCCGCAAATGTAGCCTCAAACGGCGAGAGCTTCTTCGATCAACTTTAACAGGCAAGAAGGAAGGAATCAACAAAAGGCAATAAAGATCTATGAAGATGGTGACAACGATGAGGGCTTAGACGAAAAGAGAAGAAGCGGAATGATTTTAACAGGACCGAGGTCTTTAATGGGGGACCCTTTAACCTTCTTTTGAAAATTGAAAAAGAAAGGTACACTTTTTCAACAAGGCGGGAAAAAAGAGAAAGACAAGAACAACGGCAGGAGGAGGAGGAGGAGGAGGAGGAGGAGGAGGAGGAGGAGGAGGAGGAGGAAGAAGAAGAAGAAAATGGATGGAAATGAAATGATTCAATGAGATGCTCAAAAGACGCGTATAACGTTATCAAAGTTCAAAAAGCTACAACAAACTTAATATTTTATTCAAATGGTGGTATCAGAAAAAGTATATAGAGGAATAAAATAAAGAATTATTTTCCTATTATAATAAAACAGAATTTAAGTTATAAAATTAAAAATTATATTGCTATAAAATAATCACATTTTTTCAATAATATTATTATGTGATTATAATATAATATTCGTTTATGATTTTTTAGTTTTTCACAATGTGTACATATAACTAGGATGAGCATAGGTCAAGTCGGATAAGATTTTTGGTCCACCCAATTCGACTCGAAAAATATGTACCTTCCACCCAACTCGAATTCGACTCAACGTTTTGAGATAAAATTTAGACCTGACCCTGAAATAATATATTTATTAAAAATATATTTGTCCCTGCGAAATAGCAGACAAAAAGTGATTCACCAAACGCTAAATGAAGGGTAACAGTGCCTCAGTTGATGAACTACATGCATAGCATACTCATTTTAATAGTGTACTCAATCCACTAAATAACTGTCGACTTTTTTTAAAAGCTTATATATTGATATTTTTCGACGTTCTGAGTTCGTTTTTATAATATGTTTCATCAAATTCTGATCCAAAAGCTTTTGTTTAGTATTCTTATTGATTATTTAGACTTTTCTATTGCAATTATTGTTTGGAAATAAACTTATATGTGATTATTAATGATTGAAGGTGACTCGACTTTGTCCGAGCGATCATCAATGGACTCGAAACTTTCTCACTCTAGTATTACCGAATGTGGAAAACGTATAGCTTAGATTTTTCCCGCTCGGTAATCATTTATATTAATAAGAAGATGCAAAATGGCAAATAACACAATGAAGGAGTTATAGAACTCCAAAAAAGAACATCCTGCTCAATTAGATGGGAAAAATACAGTAATACTCTTGGAAGCAATGAGCAGACAAGACCAGAAGAGTTCACCAAGCTTACTACAAGTCACAATGGGGCAGAAACAATACGCTGTCAGCAGTAGTGATTGAGTGTGTTTATGTATGTTGTGTATATGAGTACTAAATATATATAATATGTTCTCTTATTTATCGTATTTGTTGATGCGATTGTCTGAGCTTGAGACTATAACTACATGTAATATACGAGTAATTGTGATTTGATATATTTACCGATGTGTGCATTTATCGTGCACCGAATCGTAATATGATTATGTGTGATTTAGCGATGTCTATTGTAATGACACTCTTCATGTATTTTATATTGGATTGAGTTTGTGAAGTATAGAATTATCGGTTTACAGGCTGATTCATCCTTATTAGATGGTAAATTCCAATTACTGAATAATAGGTTGGTTCATCCTTAACGGACGATAAATTCTAATTACCGGTTTTTGAACTACTTTAACAACAACAACAAAACCCTATTCTCATATGTAATAGAATAAGGGGGAGGTAGGATAGTAGGCTGCCCCCAACGCCAGGTTGAGAGCAGCTTCCGTGGAAGACCTCTGACAGTCAGAAAATTAAAAATAAAGATAAAATGCAATTCATGTATAAATAAATAAATAAATACATAGTTGACCAGTCTTCATATGCGCGTCTAAAATGGGAAGTAATTCCTGCAAATAAATTCCTGCATAAAAATCTCTGCATATAGACAGAAACGTAAGACCCAACTAAATCTAAAAAGAGGAAACATGAAGAGAATGATACAAAGAAGTAAACGATAACAAACTACGAGAAGGAATAAAGTCAAATGGGTAAAATTCCAATTGAACTACTTTAGTTTTACTATATCTTTGAACTACTACTGAAATTAATGCAGTAACAATACAAAGTAAAGAAAATTAGCCTTGGATTTCATAAATAAATCAATGTGAAGAATGAATAAGTTCACCATGTAATTGCTTCGAGACGTGACGGAACTATACAATACTAGACTTATGACGGTATAGTTTAACATTGAACTTACACACACCAAGGGGAAGTTTTAAAGCCTCTTCTCAAGTAACTAAAGCCACATAACAAGTGTTCTCATCATTTGTTCATCATATTGCAAGGTATATAAGCTACTATTCCTTCAGTCAAAGCCTAAGCTCACAATCCAAAGAAGCCAAGCTCACTGGCCTTCTCCTTCTCAAAAGTCTCGAAATATTGATAAATGATTGTTACAGCAAGAAGTATACCGGTTCCTGATCCAATTGCTCCCATAAGGTCTGCCAGAACTGTGAGTGCACCGATGCACATGCCTCCGAATGCAGCAGCTGTGGGAATGTAACGGTTCAGCTCTTTCTGTAAGCTTGCCTCGCGATGGCCAGGCATAACCATTTGTTGTTCCTGCGAAATAACAGACATAAAATGAATCATCAAAGGCTAAATGAAGAGTAGTGGTGCCTCAGCTGATGAACTACATGCATAGCATGCTCATTTTCCTAGTGTACTCAATCATCCCAGGACTGCAAAGTTAATTTTGGTATGAAGGCTTAAACCTTAGAAGCTTAAGGGAAAACTTGCCACATTATTTCATTAAAAAGGGCGCACACAACAAAGTACAGATTCCGCACCAAGTATAATTATAATCATAGTGTTTCGACTAATTTATAAAGTACGTAAATTTTGCTTTCTGCAAAAAAAGGTAACTCCAAGTTTTGTGCTCTTAGTTAAAACTAAAACCTACAATTATAAAGTGAAAACACAAAAGCAAGTGTACAGAAACAAAGTAAATCTAAGATGGATTTTAAGAGTAGATCACATACCCTGAGCTGCTTGGCAACATCTCTAGCAGATGACCCTGAGACTTCAATCCAAGTTTTTGAGAACAATGCACATGCTGACAACATAAACACGAGATAGAACAACGCATGAAAAGGATTGGCCGCTATATCAGCTAAGCTGCAAGATAATATAGCAAGAAGAGTCAGCATACGTTGATAAGGAAGATTCCCAAATTAAAAAGTTATTAACCTAACGAAAGTGTTAGCACTGGAGACCATGCAGGAAAAAATATACTCTATATTTTGAAAATAGTAAAGGTTCAAATCACCTCGATGGTGCAGTGATATAATATGCAAGGCCACCAACAGGAATGGATTGACCATTTGAATATTCAGATTCCTTCCACTTGCCTAAGAGATTCACAAAGAAGTTTCCACTGAACTTTCTGTACAGTAACTGCAGAGGGATACATGATTAGATGCATCATATTAAAAAGCAACAGACATAGCCGGTCATATGTATACAAGTAAACTCCAGTACCTGAGAGATGAAGTAAAGATTTGTAACAAGAGCGGAATGTAGAATGATGGGCATGTTAGAGGTGTAGAAGAGCTTGATAGGATATGAACCCTGCTGTCCACGGGCATTCTTTGACCTCACAGGCAAAACCACTCGGAACCCTTGGAAGTAGATAACGATTAGAAAAATCAAGACTGTAGCAAGCAGATTTGTCACATTTGGAAGATTCTGTCGATAAAAGGCTTCTCTGAGAGCACGAATCTTGTTATCTTTAGTTAAAAGATTATGGACAAATGCAATAACGGCTCCTTCAAACTCGGCACCTCTTCCAGCGTTAATTGTTGTGGGGCTAAATGCCTTCCAGATTATGTTTTCACTGTATATCAATCAAATCTCTTTTGAGAGTTGGCAGTTGTAATTCTACTAATGATTACATCATGGAACAACAATCAGCTACATAATATCAATAGCAAGACAATAAGAATCCTTGGTAAACTTTTTTTAGTAGATTAAGAAAGCAAAGAAAGGAATTAAAAGCTACAAATGCTCACCAGATGTTTGTCGCAATGAAAAGGGAAATTCCAGAACCCATACCATATCCTTTCTGAAGAAGTTCATCCAGACACATGACAATGATAGCAGCAAAGCAAAGCTGAAGGATGATGAGAATGGCATTTCCAACTCCAAGTTGGCCAACAGTACCATACATCCCAGAGAGAACATAGGCAACTGCCTCGCCAACGGCTATTAAGATACCCAACAATTTTTGCGCACCATTTCTGGTAAGAAAAGTACTCATCATACATAATTATACATCTTGGACACTAAAGAAGCAATTTGCAGCTTAAGAAAAATAAAAAAGCAACCAGGCTGCTTAGATAAACCTCATAGAGATAAAGCATGAACACAGGTGCATGCATGAGTAATGCACATGATGCACACCAAAAGAAGCTCTCATGCATGGAGAAAATATTACATACTCCACGAGACTTATCATAACATCATTTTAAAGCACAACCCTGAAGGACAAGAATCAAGCTGCTATCATCAGCAAAGTTCCTGATTCCACTGTCTGACAACCAGTAACCTTAAGAGAAAGTCTAATGGCAGTCATGAAGCCATCAAATATTGAACAACAGAGAGCCAACAAAAAAAGTAATCAATCTTCATTCGGTGACAATAGTTACCTGAATAATATAAAAAACAGAAATAAAGTTCACACCCTTAAAAGATACTTACAAAAGGGAACGATCTTCACGGACATTGTTGTCCACTTCAATGATTTTTGAACCAGCCAGAAGTTGCATCACCAGTCCAGACGTCACAATGGGAGTGATTCCAAGTTCCATGACAGTCCCACGACTTGAAGCGAGAATAACACGCATCCAATAGAATGGATCTGCACCAGTTGTAGAATGTATGCCATACAGTGGGAGCTGGCTACAAACCAAGAAAATGAAAAGAGAGATCACAGTGTATATGACCTTGTCTCTGAAGGGAATATTCCTGTCAGCACTCTGAACTTCAGGCAGGAATGAAAGAAAGGGTCGTACAAGATGAAGCACTCTAAATCCACTCCCCATCTTGTTTTATCCAACTGTAAAAAATAATAACATATATATTAGTTAAAACAGAACAATATTGTCAAACATCTCAAAGTAGGACGGTATCTAACAAGAAACAATGGAGAGGTAAAACACTACACACCAGCAAATTTTAATCTTTTTCAGGAACAGAACCGTTGACAAAACTTTAAGGTATATATAAACTCCTCTTTGATTACTCATTCTCATATCATAAAAAAAACAAATTGCCCCTTTCGATTTTATTTGAAAGACACAGCAGTTTCACAGTTGAAAGGAACATCAAAACAGAAATTCCATAAACATGCATGCATCAGATAGCTGTATGAGCAAGAAGCAGCAAAATCCGCTACTAAATTAAAGGAGGTTCTCCTCTCCAATAGTTTTCCAACCAATAATCTTCAATGAGCTCATCAACATCTTCACCTAAACAAGGTGTCTCAAACGATATAAAGGTTTCTCTTTTAGCTGGCCCTAAATTCTTAACAGATGCACGGGAAAAAACTACAGATTTGGAAAGTACTGAAAGGGATCTAAACTCAGAAACTTGCTTCAAATCCTCATTTCCTTAAACAACTTATCCTTAAACCAGCAAAAACCTTCCAATTTTCAATGAAATTTACAATAAAAATTTAAAAAAAAAAAGAAAAAATAAATAAATTTCCGCTATACACAGAAGACCCTACTCAATATCCATCAGCAAAATTAGATCTTTAAAAGAACAAACAAATCACCAGAAAACAAAGTGAAGCAAAAAATATGAACTGAGAATCATAATCAACATCAACATCAACAAAAACAAAGGTATATGAACAGAAATGAGGCTCACCGTACGCACTGGAAATGCAGGAATCGTAGAGTAAAGAGGTGAATTCGGAAATTCTGAGGGGAAACTGTGCTGGCTGGGTTTTAAGTAGGGTTCCGTGAACGGCTCCGTTACTGTTGGTTAAATAGAAGGAACGACGTCGGGCGAATGAGGATAAGACACGTGGACTGTGAGAGTGACGTGGTTAGGGAGGCGGCAAGTTTGACAGGGGAAATTGTCAAATTTGTCAACGGGAAGTATTGCAGTACTTGGCACGTTCATTCATTTTGGGATATTATAATCCCTAATTTGGACGTTTTTGTTAAGAAATCTGATACGCATAAATGTACTGTACCTTTATTGGATTTTTTTTACTCAAATATCGTAGAAAAGTTAATATAGAAATAAAATTTATTTTAAATTCTTTTAGATTAATATCTTCTTTATCATATAAAAAGCATGATTTTTATTATAATTTTTTTATTAGTTTAGTAAAAAAAAATAAGCTAGAATTATTTGGAAAATGACCCTAGGCCATATAAGAATATCTCGTCTTTTGAAAAAAAAACACTTAAGGACCTCGCGTTTTACAAGGCGTGAGACATTCAACGTGGAATAATTTTTCAGATAATTCAATTTAATATTTAGATGAAAGATTTCGCGTTTTACAAAACGCGAAGTCACGAGAAATTGAAGCGGCTCAAGAATTTATGGCGAGATTTATTGTAATTGAAACTAAAATTAAAAAAATAAAAGGAGAACCTAATTTAAAAAAAAAACTAAATTAAAAAATAATTTAATTTAAAAATAATAATTTTAAAAATATATCATAATTAACAAAAATCTAAATTTCAAAAAAAACTTAATCTTAAAAAAATTCTAATTTAAAAAAGAATAAAAAAAATTCTATTCTAGAAAAACCAAATTTTAAAAAATCCTAATTTTAAAAAAATCTTAATCTTAAACAAAATCCAAATTTAAAAAATATTAATTTAAAAAAATCCAAATTAAAAGAATCCTAATTTGAAAAATCTTAATCTTAAAGAAAATTCTAATTTAAAAATTATCCTAATTAAAAAAAAATCCTAATTACATATCAATACGGCTACACAATTAACTATCATATAACATGATATACAAGGTCTCAGGCCCAACAAAAATTGTATGGCCAATGGGAGGAATCATACAAAGAGTTGCGACCATAACTTAAAATGATGTAGAAATACATATCGAGAATGGTTGTAAAATTGAAAAATGTACCAGTATACGAAAGTGATCGTTTCGTAGAATGCGTGTGCCAATTCTACTGACTATTTTGGACATTTTTGCAGTGAGTTAAAGCATTCTGCGACTGCAAGTCGATGGTTCAGATCGACGACACTTAGTTGTACGACATATACACATAAATACTGTTATTTGCGGTTGCACAAGACGAAAATAGAAAAACTATTCTCATTGCGTTCGCAATAGTCAAAAAAGAAGATATAGACTCTTGAAAATTCTTCCTTAAGAACTTATGAAGATATGTTCTATCACATGTTATGTGTGATAGACATGATGGGATATGTCTTATTTCTGACAGAGATATATAGATCAAATAGGCAATCCAGCGTATGTGGCAGTCTTAACAACCTCTCTATATTTATTAGCGGTATTGTTTATACTATATTGCTGCAAATTATTTGCTAAAGTTCAAGAGTGAAGATGGACGCCTAATGGTGCTTCAAATAAGTACGTCTTTCACTCTTTTGGGTTTAAGTTATATTTTCATTTATTATTTCTAATTAACTATTTCATTTTTAATGGATAGGTCACACGCATTCCGTACGTGAGGTTGAGGAGATGCTTTAAGAAGGGAAAGGAAAAAATTTACAAGGCTATAACTACCTTGCTAAAATCCCAAATGAGAAATGGCTTCGCTCATTTGATGGGGTAAATGATATGGTCACATGACAACGAACTTGACTAAGACAATCAACTCATAACTGAAGAGAGCGCAACATTTTCCTATTACTTTCGTTGTCAAAACGACATATTATTAGTTGGCAACCTTTTTTGCAATCTTGAGAAAGCAAGCAATTGTTCGGATGTCAAGTGGCTACATAATCTACCCAGACCTCCGCACAAAATCTCAAATATTTGTGTAGCATTCAAATGCAATGAATGTGACATGAGTCTCTCGCGAACAAAATAAATTTTGTGTTTCAGAATATTTGAGGTCATTGGAAAACATACAACACAACACATATGTGGTTAATATACGAAAAAAAACCTACGAATGCGAAGTCTTCTAAACATTCAAATACACACGTGTGCAAGTCATTGCTGCTTGTTCTTTTGTACTGATTCACTACATAATATTCATTGATCCGATATGCTTACTTGAAACCGTATTCAAGGTTTATCGACATGAGTTTTTTCCCATTGGAAATGAAGTTGATCCAGATGAAGTTGATGATAAACCTACAATATGACCACATTATGCACTACGGCGCGAAGAAAAAGGATCGTCCACGATTAACACAGATTTATTGTGACGATGATTTGATTGAACATCGAGAAAGAACCGGAAAATTGAAACTATGCACTATCTGTAGTAATCTTGGACACATGAAGAATAAATGCCCTATTTGGTCAGACCCTCGTATCGATTAATTGTGTTTTTTTATTATACTACTACTTTTATAATTAACAAAATATATTCGTTAGTTTTTAATTTCTTTTGGTTTCAAACTAAGCTTTGAAACCATTTTCAATGCAATTTTTACCTCACTTATAATATCTCGTATGTGTCGGTATTAGCCTCAACTGAAACATATAAGTTGCAATACTACGACTCTAAACTTAAAAATTATAAAAAATTTCTTATTATCTTCCCGAAAATACCCATTGAACATGCATATCAAGCCATTTTAGTTTGTTCTTCATGCACAATACAAAGCTTTGGAACCATTTCAATGCGATTTTTACCACGTTTACAATATCTTGTATGTGCCAATATTAGCCTCAACTGAAAGATAAGTTTCAATACTAAGCCTCTAATCTTATAAATTACGAAATTTTTTCCAATTTTCAACTCGAGAAAACACCTCGAATATGCCTATAAGATCTTGTATAGTGTGTTGGAAATGCATAAAACTCGCGCTTGCAGAACTCGAGATCCATATTAAAAATCCCGCGATAAATTCAATATCTCATGGACTTCATGTCTTGCAGAACGCGAGGTCGTTTATCCAAATATTAAATTGAGTTATCTGAAAAGTTATTTTATGTCAGATGGATCTCGTACCCTACAAAACACAATGTTGTTTAAACTTTTTTTTTTGCAAAAGGCGAGGTGGACCATTTGAGGTTATTTTTTCAAATAATTTTGGATAGGGGGGAATTTTTGTAATAAAATTTAATATGCATATTAAGCTTCCCGTTGGACATGCATATCAAGTTATTTTAGCTTGTTCTTTATGCACAATACCTAGCTTTGGAACCATTTCAATGCGATTTTTACCACGTTTACAATGTCTTGTATATGCAGATATTAGCCTCAACTGAAAGATAAGTTTTAATACTAAGTCTCTAATCTTATAAATTACGAAAATTTTCCAATTTCCAACCCGAGAAAACACCTCGAATATGCCTATAAGCTCTTGTATCGTGTGCTAGAAATGCATAAAACTCACGCCTGTAGAACTCGAGGTCCATATTAAAAATCCCGCGATAAATTCAATATCTCGTGGACCTCAAGTCTTGTAGAACACGAGATCATTTATCCAAATATTAAATTGGGTTATCTGAAAAATTCTTTTATGTCGGATGGATGGTTTTACCTCTACAAAGGCACAAGGCGTGCGTTGTTTACATGACAATAATGAGCACAAACTAAATTAAAATAATGAAAAAAAAGGAGAAATGAAAAATATAAAAAATATATGAACTTTGTCAAAAATAAATAAATATTTACAATCTATGTCGAAGACACATAATTACACGAGTTAAATAATGATGACGACAAAAACCCCACAAAAGCGGGTGTCTTATAATGTGCGTTGTTTACATGACAATAATATGAGCACAAACTAAATTAAAATAATGAAAAAAAAGGAGAAATGAAAAATATAAAAAATATATGAACTTTGTCAAAAATAAATAAATATTTACAATCTATGTCGAAGACACATAATTACACGAGTTAAATAATGATGACGACACACATATTTTTTATGTCCCATAATTTCTGTTTTATATTGATAATGCACATAGTTTTGATAGATATATTTAATCAAGAAAAATGATAAAATTATATTTAAAAGTTGATTGATAAATTTGACATATTTGTCTTTATATGTGTAAAAGAGTGAGATATATAAGAGTAAAAAATGAAATATAAATGTTATTTTTGTTAACTTTTTTAATAGAACATTTTGGATGAGACAATTTTAAAAATCAGAGAAGACGCTTTTGGTGGGACAGAGAGAATATTAATTTTATCTTTAATCACTTAATAAATATATGTTTAAAATGATATATTTAAACACTTGAAAATCTCATATATCTAAAGAATGTAGGATTTGAAAATTTTATTAAAATTTTCAAGTGTTTAAATATAATCTTTTAAACATGCGTTTATTGAGTGAATAACAATAAGACTAATACACTAGTCATCGTTACCGCTATATTTATGCTCGTACAAATGTATATTTTTGACATACACAGTACATATTTATTCTTTTTTAGATAAAATTTATATAATTTTAAGACTTCTTATATATTTAAAGACAAAGATAACAACATGAATTATAGTTTAAGTATATGGTTCAATTAAAATAAATAAATACCTAATTAAAAGAAATAAATATAACTTCAGGGCTTCCTATACATTTAAGCGTTATCAAAAATGGGAAAAAAGTTTTGAGGACTTAATTGTTAGAAATTAAAGCTAAATGTATTTGATTTGTGAAGTTAAAACTTAAAAGGATAAAATAAATGATTGGATGCCCAAGAAAAAAGTTAGAAAAATTATTAATAATATAAAAGCGGAAAGTAAAGTCATGAAGAAGGAAGATGATAGCCAACCACCTCTCTCAATCGATTCACGATTATTATATTTATATATTTTCTCCTTTTATTACATAATTATTTACTCAATCATCGATCAAATTTCTCCTTTAATTCAACTCACAGGAAAACCGCAGCCTTTTTATCACCGGAGCACATTTCTTCTCCTTTTCTCTCTTCTCAGAACAAACTTTGACTTCAATCAAATTTCAACGGACAAGAATTTGCTCTGCAAAAGAACAGAAATTTCCTTTTTTGGGTTTTGGAAATTGTGGGATTTTGATCTGGGGTTTTAGAAGAGAAGCAGAATGGGATGTGCAGGATCGACGCCGGCCAAAGGAGACGGTGAGGCTATTTTACTTTGTTTGCTTTGGTTTTTTCTTCTTGTTTGGTTGCTATGAAAATCGTCGGGAAAGTTGGAAGCTTAAAGAACAATGACAATTGACTACATCTGTGAATTGTTTGAGCTCGAGAAAACATTGAGCTAAACTAGTCAAATTCTAGATTGACCGGTAAAAGTTTCTGATATTTTCTAAGCAGCTAAAAGGCTGCCGCTTGAATTTCGTTTACTTGTTAATTTTTGTTTCAGAAAAAAAGGGAAAAGGCAAATGGGTCTGAGAGTTGCTAAATTTGGAATGATTATTTGAATGTTTGATCATTAGCTTGCTATTAGTACTTAATTCGTTTCCCAGCTGTTCTGAATTTTGTAACGTTTTCCATTCAGCTTTCAATAAAGAAATATGGCGTTTCTGGAGTTGCAAGAAACTGCATTCTTAATTTGTTTATACTCTACTATTTTGCTTTTGTATTGAGGATTCAATATTTGAAAATTTGGAGATTCATGATCAAATTATGCAACAAAAAGAGGAAGAAGAATAAGGAGGAGGAGTAAAAGGTCTTCGCTGCATGAAATGGGCTATATTTAATTATATTTTTCATTCATGTTATCGTCATATGTATATCGGTGGATCAGCTTAGCATAATTCATAATCATATAGGAAACTTTGTTTCGGTCCAAAGAAGGTCTCGGTTTGGTGTGAGGAGAAGGGATTGTGGATGTTGGATTCTGATCTGGAACTTGCTGAATGCCACCACTTAATGGTGGCTATATGAATCGGTTGAATTAAGCTCCGCATTCTTATTATGTGGGAAAATTTTATCCTTGTAGTCTGAGCTCCAAGCATGCTATCTTCAAAACAAGTAGTGCTTGTGTATCTGGGTGGTTAGTTTCTTGTTACCATCTGTTAATTAATTAACTAATTCTTCCTGGTAAACATGGAATACGAACTCACGCTTTTAGATTTGCATTTGAAGTTTATGTGTAGTAAATGATACAGTGAACTCTTTTGGATCCAATAGGGAATGTGAAAAAGATCCGGAAGCCAAAACCTTGGAAACATCCTCAGCCGATAACAAAGTCTCAACTTGTGCAGATGCGTGAAGAGTTTTGGGACACTGCACCTCATTATGGTGGAAGGAAAGGTAATTGCTGCCTATAACATATAACCACTATTGACTCTGTTGCTGGAAATCAACTGTTAGGTTTCTATGCATAAGATTACAAGTATCTATCCATGATTATCAATTTTGTAGGTGAGAAGAAATTTTGTTGATCTTGAGTTGACCAAATAGAAAAAACTGAGTGAATGATGATCTTATAAGGGCAACTAACCACCAATATGCTTAGCTAGTTATGCGGGGATCTGTTTTCATTGGAAAACTGAATCAGACTGAATTGATCTATGTCCTTTCAAGTTGGTTCTGAAGTCAGACCCTGGATTGTAAATATAAAATTATAACTTATATACTTGGATTCATGCAATGATGTGTAGTATTGTACATCCATTAAGCCCCTTGTCCCTCATATGTAACGTTAAGAGCTTGGATTATCTGAAATATTACTTAAGAATGCATGGTAATCCACTGAAAATAAGACCCATAAGGAAAATAGAAGAAAAACTGAGACAGAGACAGAGACATGAATGAACAGATAAAAATCATCTTGTGATTTTAGTTAATTTTGCTTGCTTTAGCTGTTTTTATTTTTATTTTTTAGGCTTAAGGATCACTTTTGCCCCTGTAGTAGACCCAAATTATCATTTTTGCCCCTATGGTATTTTCGCACCAATTTAGCCCTCGAAGTTGCTCGATTGCATCAATGTTTAAAATATTTACTATTGTTTAGGGGTAGAGTTTTGGGTTTAGGATTTACGATTTTAAGTTAGGGTTTAGGGTATAGGACGATATAATTAAACAACTTTGAGGGCTAAATTGATGCGGAAATACTGTAGGGGCGAAAATTATAAATTGGGTCTACTACAGGGGCAAAAGTGATCTTTAAGCCTATTTTTTTCGTGATGCGAAATTTAGACCAATATTGGAACTCAAACCAGTCCATTAAAACATGAATTTTGAGAGGGTTAAACTATACGGTAAAGATAACTTGTTTTAGTGTTGATTGACGAAAGTAGAGTTATTAATGGGAACTAAAGGTCTCATTAGAAGGTTCTCCGTGTATGTGATTGTAAAACTAAACATTGACATTTAGGAGATTCTGATAGCAGTGTCAATTCCCTTCCCTGTTAAATACACAGGCAGAGTAAGTTGTGCCGAGTGAAAGATGACAGTTTATAACTCTAATGTCACTTATGTTTTAGGAAAACATACTTTTTAGTTGCACTTACTTTAATCAAAATCAGGTCTTACTGAGAGCTTACAATGAGTTTTGAAAATCACTAGACTAAGTACGAACTCTTAGTACTCGGTGACAGCAGTTGAGATTCAATTGTTGACTATGATTTCAAGATGGATGAATGTCTTCCAAGGGAGGAAAATACAGAAATGGGATATGATTTTAAAAGAAATCAAAGAAAAGAATCGGAGAAACGAAGGGGAGAGTTTAAAAGCAATGGAGAAGAACAGAGAGAACCAAGGAAGAAACTTCAAACAATAAAATGATTTTAAAAACAATTAGGAGTAAATATCACATGCTGTACGTCTTAAATTTCTTTTCTCAACAAGAATTCTGGTTTCTTTGCTAAAATGCTGTGTAGTTTTACTGTAGAATCGAAACATTAGAAGTTTATGATTGAAAGTTAATTGAACAAGTATGGCTTTCTGAATAACCTTCTGCTTCTGGTAAAGCATTTTTACTTTTAACAAATAACCTTCTACTTCTCGTAAATGTCAACTTCCTTGACACTAGAGATCTGGGATGCACTTCGAGCTGTTGCTGAAGCTGATTTAACCCTTGCTCAAGCTATTGTGGATAGTGCAGGGGTCATAGTGCAATCTGCTGATTTAACTGTCTGCTACGACGAAAGAGGTAAATCTACTTTGTTGAATCGAACTTCGATAAATGATTAACCTTTTGAGCCTTCCTTCACCTCTACGATTCAACCTCCTTGAAAATATTTAACTTAGCAAACATCACATTTTCTATCTTCAAATTTCTTCCAACTTTATCAACTCTCTTTTACAGGTGCCAAGTATGAACTACCGAAGTATGTTTTGAGTGAGCCAACCAACTTGATCCGAGAGAGTTGAAGATAGAGAGAATACAGAATGCAATGCATGCAGAGGTTGAATGTAAATCATGTACATTCATCTTCTTTGAAACCCTTTATAAACGTTAGGACTGCTCGTTTTTGTTCCGGTTTAACTTATGTTTACTTTTGATGTTCACTAGGTTGCTGTAAGTTTCTCTGATGAAAACGATAACATTGGTTTGAATCAAGAAAGATGTCACAGTTTTCCTCTGGGCATTGATGGCAAAAGGTTGTTTATTAGGCTTCTAATGTAGAAATGGTTGTCGTTTGACCTTGTTTGAACTTGGAAGACTGTATAACATTTTAACAAAACGAATTAAGTATACTGATTCGAATCACAGGTAATTCTGCATACATAAGGACTCAAACTATAATATTTTAAATCAACTCGAGTTAAAATATCTACAACTCGATTTCTGTGCCCTTCAAGCGACTTTTGGGTAAAGTCATGAAGATGTAGACAAAGCATGTGGGCTCTCAAGCATTACAACGAAGGTCTTGTGACATTAAGTACGTAACGAATTCTAGGACCATAAAATTTATGGGTTAAAATGTATTTGTAATTCTAGGACCATGAAATGTACTTGTAGTTAATGTATTTTAGTCTAAAATATTTCTAAATTTATATTAAACCAACCATTAATTAAATTAAAATGTTAGGTTAAATACTCTTTATGATCCTATAAATTTATAAAGGAAGTGGATTCATCCATCATTTCCAAAAATGTAACTTAGTCTATATACCTTTTAAAAGTAAACAAGTAGAGATAATTTAGGATTATATTCAAAACAATTACTGAAATAATATAAAATTATTAAAATTAATAAATGAAAACTCAATTAAATTCTCTAAAATTTTGAATAAAACTATTAAGAATTTGTAAAGAGAAAAAAAATAAAGGAGTGTTTAAAATTTGAAAAATGAAAAAAAATAAAGAAAATAAAAAATCTCCAAAACAAATATTATCTTTCAAGAATTAAAATATGAAAATACATTTAAATAAAGTGAAAATATCGAACATAAAATTAGTACGATTATAAAAGATGTTTACAACGAAAATAATTATAGTAAGTAATTGTTCGAAAATAAGACTTTAAAGAAAATATTATTTTTTATTATTATTAAAATTACTTAATAGATTATTGGAAACAATTTATTACATTTAAACTAAAATTAATGTAATTAAAGAGTTTGAAAGAACGGATACATCGCAACCGATCACAACCACGTAGCCGTCGCAAGATATTGATATAGTTTGTTTTCTTTTTAATAATAGCAACTGGATTTTATTAATAATGGAAGGAATCAAAATTACAATACATTGAAGTATAGAGAGAAATCTGGAGACGATATTCACAAAAATACTCATACAAAAGTAAAATATTAAACCTAAATATACGAAGAAAAATAAAACATTCCATCGAGAACGACGATCAACATCAAAATCCAATAACCTTCATAAAAACTCATTGTCTCTGTCGAACGAGACACTTTAGGAAGTGATAAAGGAGTGATGGGCGAATCAATGGTCATAGTTTTCCTCTGGGCATGGACAGGCAAAGGTTGTTTATTAGGCTTTTGATGTAGAAATGGTGGTTGTTTTGAGCCTTGTCTGAACTTGGAAGATTATGTATAACATTTTAACAAAGCGAATTAAGTATATCTAATTGAATCGAACTGTGCACTCTCTGATCACTTGGCTGGTTTACTGAGGATTTTTGGTCTGAAATTTAAAGTTTGTTGATTGAAAATTTGTGTTGAATCCTGGAAAGAATTATTCAGTAAGGCACTGCTCTTCATTCCAAAATGAGAATTAGAAAAACTACACAAAATAGCACAACCTGTTGGTGGCATTTAGACAGAAATAATAAAAAAATTGAAAGAAAAGCAAGCATTAAATATAAGAGCTAGGTTTTGATCCTAAGACACTTGGGTTATGAGCCCACCGCACTTGTACTCCACTAAATTTAACTAACACAAATTAAGTGATTTTCGTAGTAAAAGAATTATTGTAATTTTTTTTAGGATTTCGGAGTTGAGTATCATAAATATCAGATGTGTAAATTTTTAATGTCGAAAGGTTGAGAGTTGTCTTTGAACATATATTATATTGTAATTAATTTAATAAAAAAACTAAATTTAAATAAAACGTGACCCGTTTCTTTAAAGATTATTTTAATACCGACAATTGTTTATTTAAATCATTTTAATATACTTTTTTTTTATTTTACAGTTCCATATGCGCGTGTGAATCTTCTACTTTTTTTTTATTTCTTTACCACATAAATATTGTAACGGTTGATAATTGAAAATGTTGATCTAAAGAATATTTTATTTTTATTTTTTAAGTAAGAAGACTATATTAAAAAAAATAATATAAGAATCACATTGATTTTTTTTAAAGTATAATTTTTTAATACTTTTTTTATCTTAAAATTAAATAATATATATGACTTTGAAAAAAAATAAGTGGTCAAAACGGGACAAACATAATAATCGAGGTACTAAAGATGTCACATACACAAACCACGTTTGCGGAGCATGATTGAACAAAAGAAGTTAACTTTCACCTGAATCAATTACTTGACCAGTCTCCCTCAGCTTTACAGCCTAATGGATACGAATTTGGTAGAACATGTTGTGAAGGAGCAGCAACGTATTGACCACAACCCCCACGCCGTTCATACACCCCACCTGATATTAAAAATTATTTTGTTAAGCTAATCGATTATTAAAAGTTATAAAATAATTATTTGATTATTTATTTGTTTTAGACTTATCGTTTTCATTAAAAAATGATGACAGTCTAAGATGGACGTTAACATGTTGATTAACATACGATAGTCGTTTGAGATTTTAAGACATGATTTTATCAAGTCATATTCAGTAAGTTAATGTTTAACTTAGATTACCGTCAAATTAAAAAAAAAACGAGTTTGAAACATATTTAAATTATAAAGCATTTGAAGATTTGATTTGTGGGAATTATTTAGTTTATTAAAGATCAAACTGAAAAATTATAAAATTATTATTATAAATTAAAAGAATAAAATATATAAAATTTGATAATTAAATGTTTTTATTATACTAATTATTAAATTAGAAGGTCATCACCCATTAGAAATTAATAACATAAAATGATAATAACGATTATTCTAGCGATGGAAATATAATATTTTAAAGTCTAGGTGAAAAAAATATAATCTTATCAATAGTCCAATGATTATGGGTGTAGTTTACCCTGTAATTAATCTATCAAACAATTGCATGCATTGGCATCCGATTTAAGTTAGGGGTGACAAGAGACTTGAACTCGAAGTGTTTTGACATGTCTTGATTATATCGGGTTGGATTCTTTTAAAATATATTTGAAGTTAGGTCGGATTTAGTCGGCTTTTTAGAGATTATGTTTGAGTTGGATCGGATTTGAGTTCAAGTCTTTATTGTATAATGATCTGACGGCCAAAAAGCTTAAGTTGTGAACCAGGCAGTGGCTCTAAGAATCTGAGGGAAACTTCGTTACCTTCATGCAAGGATTGATCTCCTTCCCTTTGAATATTCCTGGAACTGCCTATCACAAATGTTTACAGGGAAGGGAAAATGTAATGAAAATTCTAAAAAAGCTGCTAAACGAAAGGCGGGCGGCAATGCGTGGGAAGAACCAAGTCGACTTCTTCGATTTTGTCCTTGAAGAACTTGAGAAAGAGGGAACAATCTTAACAGAAGCAATCGCTTTGGATTTGATGTCCATTCTACTATTTGCTAGTTTCGAAACAACGTCCTTTGCTCTAACAATGGCAGTAAAATTCCTCTCCGACCACCCTTCAGTTCTGGAAAGGCTAAGGGTTAAATCATTCCTAAATCTGCCAAAAAAAATGAACTTAAACTAACCAACTTTTCAGGAAGAACATGAAGCAATTCTACGAAGCAGGAAAAATACAGACTCTGAACTTACATGGAAAGAATATAAATCCATGACATACACATTCCAGGAGAAAATTTCGTCCTTTGATCGTATATAGGTTTTGTTTCCATACTGACAAAGTGTAAGTTGCAGTTCATCAATGAAACCATTAGACTTGCAAATATAGCGCCGCGATTTTCAGTAAAGCACTAAGGGTGCGTTTGGTTCACGGAATATAAGATTACCTATGGGAATGTAAGATTACCAAGGAATAGCATTACTGAGAATGTTGTATTTTGTGTTTGGTTGGCTTAGCAGGAATGTAAGATTACCGTGTTTGGTTAAAGGAATAAAAGATTATTGGAATGTATATTTGACCAAATTGTCCTAATTATATATTTGTGTAATATTACAAGTTGGAAATATTTATATATTTATTTAAAAAAATTAAATTCATAATATTTATATATTTTTTACAAAATTAAAAATAAAAAAAAAGTTTAATGAAAGGGTAAAATTTTATTTTAACCCTTGAACTTCATATAAAATTTTAATTATAGATTTTTTTTGTAAATCTAAAATAATTTAAGGATAAATTTGTAATTTAACCTTCGTAAAATTTTTATTATTCGATTACAGAATAAATATATTTTTGAAAAAAATTAAAAATTTAAGGGCATTTTAGTCCAAAACGCCGGTAATCCAACAATACCTAAGGAAAGGGAGGTAATGACATTCCCGGTAATATACCCCAAAAAATCCACTATTGGTAATCTTACATTACCGGGAATAGGATTCCCGGGCTAACCAAACGGGGGAATGTGGATTCCATTCCCATGGGAATCCCACATTCCCCTATCCAAACACCCCCTAAGAGAAATCGAATTCAAAGGTATGCTTTGGGATCCATTTTTTGAACAGTTTAAGAAAGCTATAATAACATCAAATTTGGTGATAGTATGCTGCTGCAGGATATACCATTCTGGCCGGTTGGGCCGTAATGGTGAGTCCACCAGCTGTGCCCTTGACCTTTAATCAATCAAGATGGGAGGTGGGTTAATAGCATACTGGAAATTCCATCCACTTACCCAATTATTTTACCTTGAAAACTCACTTGTTTCACTGCAGCAAGGGGAAATCAATGAAGCCTCGAAGAATTTCATGGCATTCGGCGGTGGCATGAGATTCTGCATAGGAGCAGACTTCGCTGGTGCAGATGGCTGTGTTTCTGCATTGCCCGGTTACCAAGTACAGGTAAGAGCAAATTACAAGATGTTTGTTTCTACGCCAAGCAATATCGGACTCGTCTAAATCGTCGAGCCTTTCATGTGGGAACCGATAGAAGGCGGAAACACAGTCCGAACTCCAGGTTTACAGTTTCCGGAAGGCTTTCACATACGGCTCATGGAGAAAACTAGAATGGAGCAACACAAGCACTGCACTTCATAATGCAACAATAAGGCCATTACTTGCAGTCTTATTAGAAAGAAAGAATAACCTATTAAATATACAGCCAAGGGAAACCAAATACACTAGTATTACTAAACTAAGCATATCTATGATAGTTGAAGTAAATAAAAGCCCCTTCTACTCAACAAAGCATGCTGCTTCAACTGTTGATTGAGCAAAAATGCTTTGCTTCTTTGAATTTAGATTTGTAGCTTTTATAAAGCATATTCCAAATATGAAGTTCTTTTTATAACAATAAGCTTTTTTTATTAATCTGGATACATATAAGGTATTATTTGTTCATAGATAACTCTCTACTATTTGAAATAACAATTTCTTTATTATCAAGGTCGCTTAGTTCATGCTTATAACAATAAGGTTACTCGAATTTTAATGTCGGGCCATATAACTTTTAAATAAAACAACCAACCAACCAAGCTTCTATAAACTTTCTCGTCAAAGTTGCTAGAACCAACCATGCACGAAGACGGTAGGACTAGAAACATGGACTCAAAAAACCCTAAGAAAATACCTTGAGGGGATGTTTGGTTCCCATGGGAATCCCACATTCCCCGTTTGGTTATCCGAGAATGTTATTCTCGGTAACGTTTTATTACTAAAAGTGGATTTTTTTTTTGTATATTACCGGGAATGTCATTACTCCCATTCCCTTAGGTATTGTTGGATTACCGACGTTTTGGACTAAAATGCCCTTAATTTTTTTGTCAAAAATATATAATTCTTCTGTCATTGAATAATAAAAATTCTACGAAGTTTAAATTACAAATTTATCCTTAAACTATTTTAGAGTTACAAAAAAATCTATAATTAAAATTTTATATGAAGTTCAGGGGTTAAAATAAAATTTTACCCTTTCATTAAACCTTTTTATATTTTCAATTTTGTAAAAAAATTATATAAATTTTATAAATTTAAATTTTTAAAGAAAATATATAAATATTTTCCAACTTGTTAAAAAACAAATATATAATAAGGACAATTTGGTCAAATATACATTCCAATAATCTTTTATTCCTTTAACCAAACAAGGTAATCTTACATTCCTGTTAAATCAACCAAACACAAAATATAACATTCTCATTAATCTTATTCCCTGGTAATCTTTTATTCCCACTGGTAATCTCACATTCTGTGAACCAAACGCACCCTGAAAGTTCAATGCTCAAAAAATGATTTTTGGGATAGTTTAGTGACCATTTTTTAAATTTACCCATAAGTAGCAGTGGCAAAGTTGTAGATCGCAAAGAGATCAAGGGCAATTGTATATAGTCATTGCAGTTTTAGCTGACCACCTCGCAAATCCGTGTTAATTTCAAGCGCCACCAAAAAACCATTTGCAGTTTCCCGGACTGTTTACGGTTCACCCGTTAACCCGCCGATCCGAATCCACTTCCATCTAGATCTCAATCAAATCTGCTTCTACACTTCCCCACCAATTCACCCGTCAGTAAACGCCGGTGGTTTGTATCTCCGACCGTCGATCTGAAATTTCGAAACTAAAGATCCTTCTCCGATCATTTACGTTTGAAAGGCCGTCGTTGCAGCAGAAAATCATATTTTTTTACTCACCTTTTTCTCGACTCATCATACACAGGATTCCTATTGTTTTTCTTTGATTTTTTATTAATTTTAATCAAATTATATCATTCGTTTTTCCTTTTTAACCAGAAATTAAAATTTTTTGGAAATTTTTTATACTTCTAGCATCGATTTTTCTTTCCTTTGATTTGAAATGACGTCGGGGACGAGGCTATCGACATGGGAAGAAAGAGAGAATAACGAGCGGAGAGAGCGGCGGAGGAGAGCAATAGCAGCAAAGATCTTCGCCGGATTTCGGATGCACGATAACTATAAGCTTCCGAAGCACTGCGATAACAATGAAGTTCTAAGAGCTCGTTGGACAGTCGAACGCGATGGCACACTTATCGTAAGGTAAATTACTATCATCACCTTAACTTTTATTTTTGTTTTATGGTAAATTACACGTTTACTGATTAAATTTTACTCTCTTTCTTATTTCATTCACTATATTTTCATTTTTCTAATTTACTTGTCAAATTTTAGACATTAAATTTTTTTAATGGGTCTGTTTGTTTGCCGTAATTGGAATTACGTAATTAGTTTTTCCCGAATTCCCGTGTTTGTTTCACGTAATTCGTTTTCTAGAAAATGTTTTCCCGTGTTTGTTTCACGTAATTTGTTTTCCGGAACGTAATTCATTTTCCTAGTAACAAAATTTCCTTTGTGTTTTCTGGAAAATGACTTATAGATTCATTTTCCGTAAGTTATTTTTCAAACTTTTCACTTCAAATAATAAATACTCAAAATAATTTTATTTTATAAATTTAATATTAATAAAATATTTTAATATAATTTTCATCAAAATATTATTTATTTATTTATTATATTTATAATATAAATAATATTTTAATATTATATAAAATAAGCAATTATATTATAATAATATAAGATATTATATATTTATTTTAATAATATATAATAATTTTTTTTTATATTTAATAATGAATAATATTATTTATATATTTAAATAATATTTTAATAAAGATATTTAAAATATAATAATTAATATTTTAAAATATAATATATAACTATTATTTTAATAAATAATTAATATAATTTATATTATTTTTATTTCACTAAAATATACAAAAATTAATATTTTTATTTCACTAAAATATACAAAAATTAATATTTTTATTAATAAAATTATAAAAATACTATTTAATAATAAATAAATTATTTTTAATAATAAATAAGTTTTATGATAAATAATATTATTTATTGTATTTAATATTTCTAATAAATAATTTTTAAAAAACTCTTCAACTAGTGAAAAAAATGTTTAAATAACATCTTCCAAACATCATAAAATGTTTTTCATATGTTTTTCAGAAAAATATAATTCATTTTACGTAAAATATTTCCGGAAAACGTTTTCGAGAAATATAATTCATTTTACAGAATTCAAATTCAAGTAATTCATTTTCCAGTAATTCATTTTCCAGTAATTCAAGTTTCAGTAATTCAAATTCCAGTAATTCATTTTCCGGAAAACCAATTACAGCCAAACAAACGGATCCTCTATTGTTAATTTTCTAACAACGTGAATTAAATAAATAATTTTTTAAGATAAATAATAAAAATTAAAAGTAGGGTAAATAATTTTTTAATCGTGGGCAAATTACACGATGTCGGCGTCTGTGAAACTTGTTCAAGCACAGACCACCAAAGAATATTAATGGCTAACATTAAAATCATCTTTCCCACTCCAGAGCTTTTCTCGTTGGAGACTAGATCAGTTAAGAATCTCCACTCTTTAGAGTTGGGTGGTGGTCGACGGGTTTGGAGTTGGGGTTGAGATTAAAATTTAATAATTTTAATTTTATTTTATTTTTAAATCTTATTTGGCATAAAAATATTAATAAAAGAATCCCATCATGCAGTTGTTATTAAGTAAATGGTCGAGTAATAAAAAAAATACAATGTCTAAAGTTTAATAAGTAAATTGAAAATTTTAAAAATATTAAAAAAATTAAAAATAATAAAAAGAGTAAATTATCCTATTTTTTTCGTTGATGTTATATTGAAAATGCAAGTATTTAATTAAAAGAACTCAGCATCATTCTCATTCTTTTTCCCAGTAACATTCTCTTTAAAACATTTATATCAATTCCAATATTTATATTAAAAACTAAACTTAAATAACAAATGACTTATTATTTTAATATATTTTTTTAATATCTATCCTTTAGAAACTTCATTTTTATCTTCTTTAGCTTTGTCACAATCTCTTTCATATCATTCCTCTCATCTGGTAACTCTGCTGAACAATCTAAGCCGACTTGCAAAATGGACAAGGCACAGTCGTTGGCTGCTGAACGTTCCCTCCCATTAGCGCTAATCAAGTTCATGTCTACAACTTGATCTAGCGGAGTTGATATCGACTCTTTCACCCAACTCTTCAAGCTTCTTTCTCCTGCGAACATTTCGTCGGTAGGCTTTTTGCTCGCGACGGTTTCCATCAAAAGAATACCAAAACTATACACGTCGCCTTTTGTCGAAACGATTCCATCTATTCCATACTCTATGTATGGATTTATAAGAACATCATGGATAATGAATGATCATGATAGTGAATAACAAGTTCAATAAATACAGTAGCGTTAGAAATAATATCACCTGGTGCCATGTACCCGACCGTTGCCATCGTCATGGTTTGGATCATCGAGTCCTCGTTGCATAAGAGTTTTGCAATTCCGAAATCACTCAAATGTGCAACCATATCTTCATCTAATAGAACATTGCTGGGTTTCAAATCGCAGTGAACGATGGGTGTTTCATTACCGTGGTGGAGATACTCCAGAGCGGATGCAATATCTATCATTATGTTTAACCTTTGTAGGATATCCAGAAAATGGTTATTGGAATACAACCATTTATCAAGACTCCCATTAGGGATGAACTCAAGCACTAAGGCTTTGAAATCAGAATCATTAGAGCAGCTACTAATGACTTTGATTAAATTCCGGTGACGAATATTGCGGAGAACTTCACATTCGACATCGAAGCTCTTAAAAGCTCCTTCTAACTCTAACTTGAAGACCTTTACCGCAAATGTTATCCCATCTGAGAGAGTCCCGTGGTATACAGAACCATAGCTTCCACTGCCAAGCAATTTGCTTTGGCTGAATCCATCAGTAGCTCGAAGAAGCTCTTGGTATGAAATTCGTTTCCAGGTTCCTAAAGGTAACAAGTCTTCCTGAGTTGGCAATTTGTCTTTCCTCCTCCTACCTCGCAAGATAATGATAATTATAGCCACCACCAAAAGTGCAGAGGCAATTGGCAGTGCTACATATAGTATGAGCTTAGTTCTTGCCTTGGAATTCCTAAGGGGTTTAGTTTTGCAGCTCCGAACATGAAGTCGAGGTGCACCACACAATGCTTTGTTCCCCTTAAATGATTCCATCGAGTAGCTTCCAAATGATCCTCCTTCGGGAATTTTCCCTTCAAGCCTATTGAAAGAGACATTGAAATGTTTGAGATAACGGAGTTTTTCCAGGGACTTGGGAATCTCTCCAGACAGATTATTTCTTGACAAGTCCAAGAACTCCAAACTCAACATCTCGCCAAATGACTCGGGAATCGGACCTGTGATTCGATTATTGGATAAGGAAAAATAAGTGAGATCCTTGAGATCTGCAACTACAGTTGGGATATCACTCGAGAACTGATTGTTGGACAGGTCCATACTAATCAAAACCTTCCACTTTCCAAAGGCAATTGGAAGTGGACCACTTAGAGAATTTGACGATAAGTTGAGGATGAGTAGATCGGTAAGGCTTGTGAAGGTTGAAGGTATAGAGGAAGAAAACATATTGGAGCCTAAAATCAGGTTCCTCAAAGAAATGAGATTACCCAAGCAAGCTGGTATCGGTCCAGACAATTTGTTATTCGTCAAGGATAAGAAAGCCAGCTTGTTTAGACGACATAACTCGAATGGGATGGATCCTTCTAAGTTATTGTCCTGAAGAGAAAGACCCTGCAACTCTTTTAATCTTCCAATTGTAGTAGGAATGGATCCTGTCAATTTATTGCCGGCTAGGTGGACACTTATCAAGCTACTTAAGTTACCAAGTTCACTCGGGATGGTACCACTGATGCTGCACCCGAAGGCATAAAAGATCCGAAGAGAATCCGAGAGATTCCCTAACAAACCTGGAAGTTCACCACTAATCAATGGGTTGCTGTCGAAACTCAAGTATTCCAAGCCTCGACAGTTTGTTAAAGAAGAGAGAAAGCTCATTCCTAAGGAAGTTAAATTATTATCCTCCATGTTGAGTTTCTTTAAATTTCTTAGATTGCCAAGATCGTCCGAAATGGACCCCGAAAAGTAATTATTTGAGATGTCGAGAAGAGTGAGCTTGGAGGCATTGGAAATAGACATTGGGAATGAATCCATGAGGTGATTTACACTAAGATATAATCCTTCCAGGTTTGGAAGCCAAAGGCCCATTGTCGATGGAAGACGGCCAGTAAGCTGATTTAAATTCAAACCAATAAGAGACAAAGTTGAACTGTTAAATATTGCTGGAGGAATATGACCAACAAAATTGTTGGCTCCCACCAACAACACTTCTAGACTCTTTAGGTTGCCAATCTGATGTGGTATTGTACCTGCCACAAATTTCATCAAACAAATATATTAGGCAAATATAAATTGTCCATATCACGTTAAGTTAAATAAATGAGTATAAATAAATCAATAAATATAAACAAAAGTGTGCTTGATTTGTTCTTATTAATGAACAAGCTTGTTTATAGACTCGTTTATAAGCTTATTTATCCGGTTCTCCTTTTGCTTTATTTTTTTACATTTTAAATACTGATGAAAATATGGACTAAATTGAATGCATAGTAAACTATGAAGTTCAAATTATGAAGCCTAAGGATCTAAAGGATTAGTAGCATAATTTCACCATTTTTGAATATATAAATGAATATGTTCACGAACGTTAAACAAACATATTCATGAACGGTAAATGAACATGTTCATGAACAATAAATAAATGAACACGAACACATCTTTGTTCGTTCAAGCTCGATTCATTTACACCCCAAACAGGGATGGACCGAAGGGGACGGGTGGGCGCAGTTAGCCAGTTACAGGTGTTCATTAATTAGTTTTAACCGATTAAACGGACCGAACCGAATTTTTTCGGTTAACAGGTCGATTAATTTTATGTTCGGTTGGTTAATGGTTAATGATTTTTTCAAAGTTCAGTTAACAATTAATTCGGTTCAAAATTGGTTAATTAACCAAAAATTTTAAATTTTTAATATATTATTTATATATTACTTAGCTTTAGAAGTTTTTAAATTTCGGTTTTAACCGAATTAACTAAAAATATTAAATATTTAGTATATAATATATATTATTTAAAATTTTGAAACTAACCGAATTAATTGAACTTTGTTCGGATTGGTTTAAAAAATTTCAAAATATTTTAGTTCGATTAACGATTAAAGGTAAAATAATTTCAGTTAATGATTTTGGCCAGGTCGGTTCAGTCGATTAACCGAAATGACCAATTGAACACCCCTAGGGCAGTCCCCCTAAAAATATTAATATATATTTTAGATTTTTTCTATGTATTTTCTATTGAAAAACTGTTTTCACCCCTGAAATTTTATAAATCCATCTATTCCTTAAATTTTAGAAGTTCACCTTTAACATAAATTTATGCGTTCATTCCTAACCCTAAATACAATGAACGCATTCAAATATTAATGAATAAGATAATAACACATTATTAAAAATTTAGATAAATTTAGTGACAATCTATGAAATTATACACAATTAGTGTATCAGATATGAAAATAAAATAAAATTATTTCTACAGAACTCTTGTAAATATAAAAATAATTTGGCAGTATATTAGTTTCCTTTTATCCATTTACCTGTGTGGTTGTTGTGGGAACAACCAAAGTATCTAAGAAGAGTTAAATTTCCAATTTGTTTTGGAATTTCACCTGCAATTATAAAATTAAAAATTCATCTATTAGCTAGAATAATTGCAATAAATTAAATAAAGCAGCATTCACAAGATTTTTCCTGCATCATATGAGCCATTACCTTCAAAGTGGTTATGATCAATAAGTAAGGCTTGAAGCATACTCAAATTGCCAATTTCTCCAAGCAGATTCCCCTCCAATTGGTTATATGCTATGGATAAAACTTGCAACTCTTTGCACTTGAGCAAATTAGCCGGAACTCTACCAGAAAGCTTGTTACCACTCAAGTACAACACTTTCAAATTTGGAAGATGATCAAGCATTTCCGTCGGAATATAACCGGTGAGATTATTGACGGAGAAATCTATGTATTCTAGCGAAGGTAAATCGCGTGTTACAGAGGGTATGGAACCAGTGAGCATGTTATTGTATAGATGAAACAGTTACAGCGAAGATATATTGAAGATGGAGGAGGGTATTGAACCTATAATCTGGTTTTCTTCTAAGCCCAACATTTCTAGCTTAGACAAATTGCCTAAAGAGGGTGGGATAACACCTTGGAAGCTGTTTTTGTATAAAATCAGTTTTCGAAGTCGTGTTAAGGATCCCAACCATGATGGGATTGCTCCACTGAAGCTGTTGTTACCAAAGGTCAAATGTTTCAGCCTGAGCAAATTGGATAATTGGACAGGTAATGTGCCATGGAAACTATTATCACTGATGGAAAGAATAGAAAGGAATGATAAATTTCCTAAGTGGGGAGGAAGGGTGCCTACGAGTCCCAACCCGGAGAGGTTTAGAGCCGTGACTCTGCGGTGCTTGGATCCGCAACTGACGCCGAACCAATTGCAAACAGGGACGGAGACTGACCAATTAGTTGCTAAAACATTTTCAGGGTCGTGACTAATATGGTCTTTGAATGCAAGAAGAGCTGATTGGTCTGTAAGTAAGGTGGTTGATTTAAGAGAGAAAGTAGCCATAGAAGAATGGAGGATGATGAGAAGAACTAAGTTGAGGAAAGTGTTGGCCATTTGATTTTGTGAAGATAACAACAAAGGCACAAGAGAGATTGGTACATAGATAATGCATTCTTTATATACACTAGAATCGAATCCATGCCTTGCAATAAAAGATGACTTCTCTCCCCCCCCCCCCAAGTTCTTTTCCTGGGTCCTATCTCTTGGAAAAATATACATCCAGTCACTTCCTTTTTCATGACCGTTTCTCCATATTCCACGGGTTCAAAATGACTCCCCAGTCGTCCACGAATCTTCATTTTCTTACCTCTTTTCTGGGTAATTATGTTTTGAAACAATTAGCTGGACTTGGCAGCGACCGAACAGGGAGTCGGGGAGTGATTTACGCGTAAAAGATGACTTTTCTCCACCCAATTTCTTTTCCTGGGTCCCATCTCTTTAAAAAATAAATATACATCCAATCACTTCCTTTTTCATGACCGTTTCTCCATATTCCACGGGTTCAAAATGACTCTCCAGTCTTCCATGAATCTTCATTTTCTTACTTCTTTTCTGGGTAATTATGTTTTGGAACAATTAGCTGGACTTGGCAGCGACCGAACAGGGAGTGATTTACTCGTAAAACAGGCAAAGCATAAATTCAAGATGGAAGGGTGCAGTGCTGAGTGGTGAGAAAGACCAAGAAAAAGTATCAAATTAAGTCAATTGCACCTCCAAAACGGAACGTGTAAATCCATTGATTCCGACTTTGCTTTTTGATGTTCACTAGTTTGCGGTAAGTTTCTCTGATGAAAATGATAACTATTAGGGGTTTGAATCATGAAAGAGGTCAGTCTTCCTAATGGCATGGATAGTCAAAGGTTGAAGCTTTGTCTAGCTTATCAGAGCCAGGTTTCCTCCTAGGACGTGTGGGTTATGGGCCCTACACGCTTCCGCTGTGCCACTCTGATTTATTGACATATCATTGAATATAGAAGTATAAGTTGAAAGCATTAGGAATAAACATTGGGAATGGGAATACAATCCTGGTCATTCATGTGAAAGTCTGTATTTGGGGAATTGTTCTTCATTGCTTGTCTAGCTATATGTTGTCAACTTCTTGTTTATTTCTGTTTTCCATTATCATTAAATGCTGAGATAATATAAGCACCATTAGCGGAGCCGCCTGGAATGCACATGATATACCTTCCATGCTCTGATAACATCAGGGATGAGGAAGATGCAAGTAAATATTCATGAGTTCACGCTAAAACATTTTCAAGTCATGTTACCACTGATTGAATTGGGGATTTTTTCACAGATTTTTCCAGATACAGAAGATGATGCACCTCGAGCTGATGACGAACAAATTCAAAAGGATGCTGCTGTACAGATTTTTCACAGTTTTCTGTTTCAACATGATTGAAGTTGTGAATACACAACAGTTACTCTTGGGTTGTATCATGGAACTGCAATTTGCTGACCACCCTGAATACATAAATACATATACAGACAAGGCTAAATCATGAATTGATAAAATTTCAGTTGATTTCTTTTTCTTCTGTATGCGCAAGTCTGCATAGTTACCGCTTGTCAAATAGTATTGGTTTCCAATATGGGTAAATTTAAGGTTTGATAGTAATAAAATTCCAGTCAAATTTTGTTTTATTTTCCCGTTGAAGTGGACAGCCAAGTTGCTGATCTTGTTCTTGTGTTACACTTTTTAGACAGTAATAAACAACCTTGGCATTGGCATGATGCGACCGTATTTTTCAAGGCTAGATATCTTTTCTTGCATAGACCCCAAAGCTTTCTGCACATATTAGGTTTGTTTAGAACTAAAAATTCGACTTCATATGCTTGAATCAAGTGACCTCGATGGTAAAAGAACTGTTGTTATTTCTTGAGGTCCCGAATTCGAGTACCAGGAATGATAGTTGTAATACCCTGAAACTCGGGTTAGTAGTTTGGGTCAATTCGAGACCTTTAAGTCAAACCAATTAAACTTCCCAAGATAGTTGGACTAAGTTATTAAAGTATTGGACTTAAGTGAGGCCCAATAGTTAAAGGAAAGTGGTGTTTTTAAAAGTAAGTAAATAAGAGAGACCTAAAGTGTAGTTTACACTTAGCCGGTTTTAAAAGATAAATCCCCTTAACCCATTAGTTTTCATGTCGCAAATCTTTAGTTTTGAGCAAGGTTTTCTAAAATGAGTTTTTAGGAGTTGAGAGAAATAAGTGTTTTAAGTTTATTTGTGGGTAGATTTGAGTTGTAAGAGTTGTATTTAAGCTTAATCTAACCTCTAGTTTAGTAGTAATCCATTTCCTTGCTTGGTTTAGTTAAAAAGGTGAAAAAGGAGTTTCAAAGCAAAGGATGAAGGTAAGGTGAATCCTAGTTGATTCTAGAAGAGTTTTAGCATCTAAGGAAGCCATATAACACAGTTATAGCTTTCTCATACCAAGTGTAGATCATGAAAAGTTAAAATTTGTTAGAAAGTTAATTAAAGCATGTTTAGCAATTTCCATGGTAGATTGTTCATTTGATGTTATAGTATGTTAATAAGCCTCTATTATGACCCCTGTTGATCAAATAAAACTTTAAGCATGTTGGGGACCTCACTAAGATATTTGTGATTGAGAAATAGAATTTTTCGTACTTGTTTTATGACTTCTGCAGGTAGAGTATCGATACTATAGTAATAGTATCATACTTGTTCTTCGTTTTGGGCAAATTCGTGAGTTTCTGGGTAAGAGTATCGATACTATTTCAAGAGTATTGAAACATTGAGTCATAGTTTCGAAACTCCCAGAAAATTTCGAAACTGGATAGAACAAAATGTTTAAAAGTATTGGTACTTATATAAAGTATCGAAACTTTTGTAGGAGTATCGATACTCTTGGATTAGTATCAATACTTTCAATATGTTTTGGGTAAAAATGTCAGTTTTAAGGGAAATTGACTTAATGTACCCAACACTTCAGTATTTCTCCAAATAAGACTACAAGTGAGAACATAATTATTGCTTATTTCAAACGTAGAAACGATAATAAAAGTAGGACCAAATAAGACTAGCCTTGTTTGAAATATTCGGGAAAATGACTAGGAAAGATATTGTGAGTCTGACATGTGAAATAATGGAGTAACAATGTCAAGAGTTATGAGTAATTTGTCACAAAAATATATATGACACGGTTAATAAGCTCAAATCAATTTGCGTTATTCATAGATGAAATGATTTAAGATGGAAAGTAAGATTATCGGGATGGAAAAGCAAAATGGAGTGAATATAATAATGCCTTGCTGTGGTGGAATAAAATGCTGGAATGAGTTTTGATTTTCCGAGGTGCTATTTGTTTAAAATTTCTTATTTTCAAAGTTGAGCATACTTTGCAGTAATGGTATTTGATCCGTTGCGTGTGCTTTTAGGACCCTGATAAAATCTTTACTTTCGGCAGGGTTGCAAGCCTGTGGAGCGCATTGATATAGTAGGTGGATCTGCAACAGTGAGCCCCTGCTCATCTTACCAGCCAAGCCCTGCGTCATCATCCTTTCCAAGCCCAGCTTCTTCTTATGTGGTTAATATCAATGGTGATGTGAATTCTCTTTTTCCATGGCCCAAAAACCTCTCATCAGCATTCTCTTCCAATCGTCTGTATAGCTATATTCATGGAGGTTCCATTAGTGCTCCTGTCACCCCTCCATTGAGCTCACCAACTTCTCGAACCCCATGAATCAAACATGACTGGGAGGAGCAGTCTACCCATCCAGCTTGGAGTGCACAACAGCAATCTTTCCTGCCTTCTTCGATTCCCCCTAGCCCTGGTTGTCAAATTGTTCCGGACCCATAATGGTTTGCCGGGTTTCGAACCCCTCGTAGCCGGCCAACCTCTCCCACATTCAGTCTTGTCTCCTCCAATCCCTTTGGCTTCAAGGAGGAAGTTTTAGCTAGTGGGGGATCCCGCATGCGGACTCCTGGGCAAAGCGGCACATGCTCTCCATCTATAGCTGCAGGATTAGATCAAACAGTCGACGTTCCAATGTCTGAAGCTATTTCAGATGAATTTGCATTTGGAAGCAATAGAACAGGGATAGTGAAGGCATGGGAAGGGGAGAGGATCCATGTAGAATGCGGATTAGATTATCTATAACTCGCTCTTGGCAGTTCCAAGACCAGGTGAGTTTCCAAACTTATTCAATAGATTAGCTAAAATTGTTTTAATTTTCATTAATTTTTTAAAATATAACTCTGAATTACATAGTTTGTTCTCAAGGCACGGGATAGTTTCGTGATTTTCCTGAAAAGTTAGAAGCGTTATACTCGTACGGTTGTTTTCTTGGTCTTTAGTTAGGTTTGCCAATTGCCATTAGAAGAAATGCCTGAATGACCGTTTCTCAATGGCCAATCCTATGATCAAATGAATATGTGAGTTGGTAAACCTAATTGTTACACTTGTGAGTACGGGGTTGTTTGTTTATTTCAGAATGATTAAGCGCTGAATGATTCAGAGGCTCTGAATGAATTAGCTCTGAATGTGACATGTTGTTTGATAATGGCTCTGAATCATTCAGAATGTACTTCTGTGCTGAATCATTCAGCACTGTTTTGCTGAATCAATCAGCACTGAATCATTCAGAGTTGCGAAATAAACACGCTGAATGGTTCCATTAAGAGGCAAACAAACAACCCCTATATTTTATTTTATTTAAAAGAGTAATATCCATTAATATAATGTAAAATCTTTTAGTTAACTTTAATATGCCACGTCATCCCTTTAACAATTATTAATGGCAGCTTAGCTAATAACACGGTGTCCATTTTTTTTTAACAAAACCTAAAGTTAAAAGTTTATTTTATAACTATTAAAAGTTTAATGTCTAAAAAGATTATTTTAAGATAATGTAATGATGTTTTTTTTAACTTTATTCTTTTTAAAGGAATAAGAATTTGCATTAACCAGAAATAACATCTTGGAATACATTAGGAGGAATGGATTTTGAGAACTCGTAAGGAAACTAAGATAGATGTGGGCGACGATCATTGAGCTAAAGCGTATTAGCCGAGCATCGGATCTAATGCACGTCGATGTGAGATAGTTATATTGCCACAAGAAGAAAATAACTCACCAAAGATAAATCTATACGATAATTAAGTAGCTGTCGAACCAAATTCGATGAATCACTCTAAATTATCACATGTGGAAGCTGTAGATCAATTGAGAGTAGGGTGCCAGCAGTGATAACATTGGCCTCAACGATGGCAGGGTCACCATGGCTCCGTTCTCTGCGGCATGCATTATCAATTTTCAAAGGTAATAGAAAAAGGACGATTAGTGTTGATTTGCAATGTACTTCTCTCTAGATTACTTGATGAGCTTGAAATTGCTGAATCCCATGAAAGAGAAGTTCATTTGCGCCATTGATTGCTTGAAATTTTATATAAATACGTGGTTTCCATTCCATTGCTATATCATCTCAACCTTGATATTTTTGGTGTCTTCATTGTCATTTCTGAGAGAAACATGAAAGGGTGGTTCATACAGTCGTATTTTGTCTTGTTTTTCCTCATTATTTGTCATACGTCCTTTGTTATATCATTGTTATCATGCCCTCATGACCAGAGCCTTGCCTTAATCCAGTTCAACAACTCTTTTTCTATTGATTGCTCCCACAGTTCGGAGTGCAATGCATCTGAGGGTAAGACAATGTCGTGGAAGAAAGGCATGAATTGTTGTTTGTGGGATGAGGTTACGTGTGATGCCAAAACTGGGAATGTGATCGGCGTTGACCTCAGTTGCAGCGGCCTTGTCGGCCCTTCCCCTCTAACAACACTTTCTACCTTCTCCGCCATCTCCAGGAGCTTAACCTCGGTGGGAATGATTTCAATATGTTCCCAGTAGCATCCCAGTTTGATCAGTTGACTGGTTTGACCCATCTCGACATCTCTAGTTCATCCTTTTCAGGTAAAATCCCACTTGAAATCTCATACCTTTCTAAACTATCATCCCTTGATCTATCTGATAATTATGGTTTGATGTTTGAGGGGCATGTGTTTGAAACTGTGGTGGGAAACTTGACACAACTAAGGCACCTTCTTCTCTCGGGTGTCAGTATGTCCTCGGTTGAACCTACTTCTTTCCTTAACATGTCTTTTTACATCACAACTCTTATCCCTGAGGGAAATAGACTACAAGGGAAATTCCCTGAAGATGTTTTCCAGTTTTCATACCTAGAGAAGTTCCATCTTAATGGTTTCCATTGTCCATACCTAAAGATGTTCTATCCTAATGGTTTCCAGTGTCCATACCCAATGAAGTTATTTCTTAATGGTTCCCACTGTCTATACCTAGAGAAGTTCTTTTATGTTGAATTTCATGGACTAGAAATCAACCTCCCAAAGACAAATTGGAGTGGCCCCCTCAAGTCACTGGAACTCTCATCTTCACATTTGCAGGAATTACCTGATTCAATTGGTAATCTTAGATCTCTAGAGATACTGGATCTTTCTTATACCAATTTGACAGGGCCAATTCCAGCAACTCTTGCCAACCTCGCACAACTCAAACGTTTAGATCTTTCCAAAAACAACCTTAGTGGTCTTTTGCCAATTCCAGTTTTCAACTTCACACAAGTTGAATATCTGGATTTTTCAAGAAACAATTTGATTGGTTCCCTTCCTTCTCGAGTAAGTGGGATTTTGCGACTTCATTGGCTAGGCCTTAATGAAAACTTTCTCAGTGAAAGGGTACTCTCCTGGTTATTTTCTTTTCCATCATTAGAAGTATTCTGGCTCAGTAATAACAAGCTTACTGGTACTATTGACCAATCTGACAAGGTTGGTGCATTGGAGGTTGTTGATTTGTACGGGGCCCAATTCCTACTTCTTTTTCCCAACTTGTCAACCTTACTATTATTGATCTTTCATTCAATAACTTGAGTGGCAATTTTGAATTTGACAAATTATCAAAGCTCAGCAAGCTTGAGGAACTCGATCTCTCGAACAACTGTTTGCTGTCATTGACCAGTGCAAGCAACGTCGATTACTCCTTGCCTTTTCTTTGGAAATTAAACCTTTCTTCTTGCAACGCAAGTGAATTTCTAAATTTTGTAAGAAATCTAGAAGGTTTGACCTCTCTAGACCTTTCTTACAATAGAATCCGTGCCATCGAGGCTGATATGTTTGTAAAGCTTAAATGGCTTCAAATACTGGTTCTTTCACACAACAGGCCGTTATCCCTGAACAACAATAACAACATTAAGTCTTGTCCTGCTCCATCTTTCTTCCTTACTATTGTCTTCTTGTAATACAACTGGATTCTCAAATTTCTTGACAACTTAAGAGGGTTTGATTAGTTTAGACCTTTCAAACAACAACATTCAAGGCCAGATTGTTGGATCATAAACTTGATCCATTATGAGAGCCTAAACCCAAACCCAAACTAAATTGATGTCATTACTTACATCATTTAATTAAAGATGTCATTGCTTACATCATTTAATTAATGATGTCATTGCTTACATCATTTAATTAATGATGTCATTGCTTACATCAATTTAGTTAGGTGAGAGTTAGATATTTGTTGAATTTGTAATGGTTTAAATTAGTTTATTTGTGTGGTGTAGGATTGTTCTTGAGTAGTATAAATACCCCTTCCCATTTTAGTTTTAAGCATCAAGAAAAATCAATAGCTTCTAAGTGAGTGAAGAAGCAAAGTCTTATAAGAGTGAGTTGTAGTTCTTGTTTTTGAGTGAGAGTGTTCTTGTAATATTTCTTTGAGCTTCAATAAAAGTTGCTTGTGTGAGCGTTTTATTTCCAACAAAGTGGTATCAGAGCGAGTTGGAAAGATCGAAGGTCTCGACGAGAGGAATACGACGCCGCCAGAATTTTCTCAATCTGAGTTCTGACGCACCGCCACGCACCGCCGGAAGACTGCTGCCAGAAAATCGAGTTGACTCACCGAGTTGAGCCGATTCAGCCGAGTTGGAGCTCTTGACCGAGTTGTCCAAGTCCCTCCAAAGTTTTTTTTTCATCGTTCCGGATTCATCCGTGCAATCGGATTTTACAAAATCTCATTATATTGAGAGATATGGCAAATGGTATGGCACCATTCCAAGTTCCGACACTCAACAACAACAACTACGACAATTGGAGTATCAAAATGAAGGCACTTCTTGGATCACAAGATGTGTGGGATATCATAGAGAAAGGCTATAATGAGCCTGCGGATGATGATGTTTTTGCTACTCTTACACCAGATCAAAAGACAACTTTGAAGGATTCAAGAAAGAGAGACAAGAAGGCTCTCTACCTAATCTATCAAGCATTAGATGATGATGGTTTTGAAAAGATTTCAAGTGCAAGCTCTAGCAAGGAAGCGTGGGAGAAGCTGCAAACCTCTTACAAAGGATCCGAGCAAGTGAAGAAGGTTCGTCTCCAAACATTAAGAGGTGAATTCGAATCCTTAAACATGAAAGCATCTGAGTCTATTTCAGATTATTTCTCAAGAGTAGTAGCTGTTTCTAATCAATTAAAAAGAAATGGTGAAAAGTTAGACGATGTGAGGATAATAGAGAAGATACTCCGTTCGTTGGATCCCAAATTTGAGCACATCGTCGTGACGATTGAAGAAACTAAAGACTTGGAAGAAATGAAGATCGAACAGCTCCAAGGATCATTGCAAGCATACGAAGAGAAGCATAAAAAGAAGCATGAGTTTACTGAGCAACTCCTCAAGCTGCAACTCAAGGATATGCATGAGAGCCAACGCAATGATAGAAACCAACGTGGCCAAGGCAGAGGTAGAGGCCATGGACGAGGTGGAAGTCGAGGTCGTGGACGAGGCTGGAATTACAACAATAACAATTCCAACAACAACTATGAGAAAGGAGAAAGCTCAACACGAGGCCGTGGAAGAATTAATCCAAACTCAAAGTATGACAAATCTCAAATTCGATGTTATAATTGTCAAAAATTTGGGCATTATGCTTCAGAATGTAGAGCTCCCAACAACAAAATTGAGGAGAAGGCTAATTACGTGGAGGAAAAGACAGATGGCAAAGAAACTCTTCTTCTAGCACGAAAGGAAACTGATGGTGGCCAAGCAAATTCCTGGTATCTTGACAGTGGTGCAAGCAATCACATGTGTGGAAGGAAAGACATGTTTGTGGAGCTAGACGAGTTAGTAAGTGGAAATGTTTCGTTTGGAGATGATTCCACAATAGCAGTGAAAGGGAGAGGTAATATTCTTATCCGTTTGAAAGATGGGAGACATCAATTTATTTCAAATGTCTACTATGTGCCCAATATGAAAAGTAACATTTTAAGTTTAGGGCAACTGGTAGAGAAAGGTTATGATATTCATATGAATAATTATAATCTTTCTATAAAAGATGATAAGAATAACTTCATTGCTAAAGTGCCGATGTCAAAGAATAGAATGTTCTTGATCAACATACAAAATGATGTTGCAAAGTGCCTGAAAGCTTGCTACAAAGATGCATCATGGCTTTGGCATCTTCGATTTGGGCATCTCAATTTTGGAGGTCTAGAGCTATTATCTAAGAAGGAGATGGTGAAAGGACTACCTCACATCAACCATCCTGACCAACTCTGTGAAGGGTGTCTAGTCGGGAAACAATTCAGGAAAAGCTTTCCAAAGGAGTCAGAGACAAGAGCTAAGAAGCCACTTGAGCTCATCCATACCGATGTGTGTGGACCGATCAAGCCAAGCTCTCTCGGTAACAATAACTATTTTCTTCTCTTCATTGATGATTTTTCAAGAAAAACCTGGGTATATTTCTTGAAACAGAAGTCAGAAGTTTTTGAAGTCTTTAAGAAGTTCAAAGCAGCAGTGGAGAGAGAAAGCGGTAGAAAGATCAAAGCCATGAGATCCGATCGAGGTGGAGAATTTACTTCCAAGGAGTTTCAAGAGTTCTGTGAAGCAAATGGAATTCGTCGACCAATGACAGTTCCTAGATCCCCCCAGCAAAATGGTGTGGCAGAAAGAAAGAATAGAACAATCCTCGACATGGCACGAAGCATGCTCAAAAGCAAGAAACTACCCAAAGAATTTTGGGCGGAAGCAGTATCGTGTGCAGTCTACTTGTCAAATCGATCTCCAACAAGAAGTGTATGGGGAAAGACACCGCAAGAGGCATGGAATGGAAGAAAGCCTGGCATTTCCCACTTGAGAACCTTTGGAAGTATAGCCCATGTTCACGTACCAGACGAGAGAAGAACGAAGCTTGATGATAAAAGCGAGAGTTTTATCTTCATCGGCTATGATGCTAATTCGAAGGGTTACAAGTTGTACAATCCAGACAATAAGAAGTTTGTGATTAGTCGAGATGTGGTCTTCAACGAAGAAGGAGAATGGGATTTTAACTCTCATACAGATGACTTCAATTTCTTTCCTCAGTTTGAAGAAGATGAGCAGACAATGAGGGAGCAACTAGATGAATCTCAACAAGAGCTTGCAACTCCACCCACTTCACCAACATCAACCACTCAAGGAGACTCATCACCTTCATCATCGTCAAGTGGGAGTCAAAGTGAAAGAGTTGTGCAACGCACAAGAAGCCTTAGAGATCTCTATGAGGTAACTGAACGACAAGATAATCTTACATTATTTTGTCTGTTTGCCGATTGTGAACCAGTGAGCTTTCAAGAAGCGGTACAAGAAAAGAAATGGAGAGATGCGATGGACGAAGAAATCAAGGCCATCGAGAAGAATGACACATGGGAACTTACCTCACTTCCCAAGGGACATAAGGCGATAGGTGTCAAATGGGTGTACAAAACAAAGCAAAACGCCAAAGGAGAGATTGAAAGGCACAAGGCGAGGCTAGTTGCTAAAGGCTATAGTCAAAAGGCTGGAATTGACTATGATGAGGTATTTTCTCCTGTTGCTCGATTGGAGACTATCAGACTAATCATTTCTTTGGCAGCTCAAAACAAGTGGAAGATACAACAGATGGATGTAAAGTCCGCCTTCCTAAATGGAGTTCTTGAAGAGGAACTTTACATTCAGCAACCATCAGGCTATGAAGTCAAAGGGCATGAAGACAAGGTGTTGAAGTTGAAGAAGGCTCTTTACGGGCTAAAACAAGCACCAAGGGCATGGAATAGCCGAATCGACAAGTACTTCCAAGAGAATGGCTTCAACAAATGTCCCTACGAGCATGCTCTATATATCAAGATCAAAGATGAAGATATTTTGATCGTGTGCCTCTACGTGGACGATTTGATCTTCACTGGAAGCAACCCAAGCATGTTTAATGAATTCAAGGATGTGATGATGAAAGAATTCGAGATGACAGACATGGGGCTCATGGCGTACTACCTTGGCATTGAAGTTAAGCAACAAAATGATGGAATTTTCATTTCACAGGAAAGCTATGCAAAGGAGATACTGAAGAAGTTCAAGATGGAGAACTGTAATCCAATAAGCACACCGGCAGAATACGGGATCAAGATGACCAAACATGAAGAAGGCGAAAGTGTAGATCCAACATTCTTCAAAAGTTTGGTAGGAAGTCTACGCTATCTAACTTGCACGAGACCCGATATTCTTCACGCAGTTGGATTGGTTAGTCGCTACATGGAATCCCCAACAACCACCCATTTTAAAGCTGCAAAGAGAATTCTTCGCTATCTGAAAGGTACAATTGACTTTGGCTTGTTCTATTCAGTTTCTAATGATTACAAGCTTGTTGGATATAGCGACAGTGATTGGGGTGGAGACATAGATAATCGAAGGAGCACTACTGGATTCGTATTTTTCATGGGAGATATTGCATTCACATGGATGTCAAAGAAACAACCGATTGTCACATTGTCCACTTGTGAAGCGGAATATGTTGCTGCTACCTCATGTGTTTGTCATGCAATTTGGCTTAGAAATCTATTGAAGGAGATTGGTTTGATACAAGAAGAGCCTACCAAGGTTTGTGTCGACAACAAGTCAGCCATTGCCTTAGCGAAGAATCCAGTATTCCATGATCGAAGCAAGCACATTGATATTCGCTACCACTATATAAGGGAGTGTGTTGCAAGAAAAGATGTGGAAGTTGAATATGTGAAGTCACAAGATCAAGTTGCTGATATTTTTACCAAGCCACTGACCAACGAAGACTTCTTAAGATTAAGGAACCTACTAGGGGTCACGAGATCAAGTTTAAGGGAGGGTGTTGGATCATAAACTTGATCCATTATGAGAGCCTAAACCCAAACCCAAACTAAATTGATGTCATTACTTACATCATTTAATTAAAGATGTCATTGCTTACATCATTTAATTAATGATGTCATTGCTTACATCATTTAATTAATGATGTCATTGCTTACATCAATTTAGTTAGGTGAGAGTTAGATATTTGTTGAATTTGTAATGGTTTAAATTAGTTTATTTGTGTGGTGTAGGATTGTTCTTGAGTAGTATAAATACCCCTTCCCATTTTAGTTTTAAGCATCAAGAAAAATCAATAGCTTCTAAGTGAGTGAAGAAGCAAAGTCTTATAAGAGTGAGTTGTAGTTCTTGTTTTTGAGTGAGAGTGTTCTTGTAATATTTCTTTGAGCTTCAATAAAAGTTGCTTGTGTGAGCGTTTTATTTCCAACACAGATTACCAGAGAAGGGGGGAACTGGGGAAGCAACCTGCAGTATGCTGATCTTTCTGATAACTTGCTAACAGTTGTAGAATATTCTTCATGGAAGAGAATAAAAGTTCTAAAGCTTGGATCCAACCTGCTAGAAGGGCCACTTCTACCACCACCTCCTTCTGCATCTGTTTTCTTAATCTCAAAGAACAGATTGACTGGCAAAATCCCTTCCTCCATATGCAATTTGAACCATTCGGAGAAGGCTGTGGTTCTCGATTTGTCCCATAACAACTTGAGTGGGGCTATTCCGAGATGTCTGGGCTTGAGAAATATTTCTGTTCTAGATTTGCAGATGAATCATCTACATGGAAGTATCCCTGATTTTTGTGTTGAGGGAAACAAGAAGTTACAAACACTCAACCTCAACAACAATGATTTTGATGGGCCACTACTTAAGTCCTTGGCTAATTGTCATGATTTGGAAGTGTTGAATCTTGGAAATAACAAGATAAATGACACATTTCCCACTGGTTGGAAACTCTCCCTCGGCTACAAGTTCTTGTCTTGCGAGCCAACTATTTCCATGATCAAATAATCCATTTGGAAAATGGATCATACTTCTTGACCTTGCGAATCATAGACATCTCCCATAATGAGTTCTCTGGTTTTCTGCCAACAACATACTTTAAAAGTTTTCAAGGTATTATGAGTTTAGCCGATGCTCAAATGGGATAAATGGAAGGTGAATATTACAAAGATTTCATGGTTGTCTCAATGAAAGGTGTGGACATCGAGCTTGCGAGAATTCTCACTATTTTTGCAACACTTGATATGTCCAGCAACAGATTCGAAGGGACAATTCCTGCAACAGTTGCAAACCTTATTTCTCTCCAAGTGCTCAACTTTTCCCATAACCACTTTACTGGTCATATTCCTTCCTCTTTCGGTATTTGGCAGCACTTGAGTCATTAGATCTCTCTTGCAATGAGTTTGTTGGGGAGATTCCTTCGGAGTTGACTCGTTTTCTTTTTCTTGAAGTCTTGAACCTGTCAAAGAATTATCTAGTTGGACTCATTCCTCAGGGAAATCAATTCAATACCTTGTTCAACGATTCCTACATTGGCAATTCAGGATTATGTGGGTTTCCAGTTTCGAAAGGTTGTGGCCACAATGAATCACCAGCACCAGGATTTTATCAACATGATGATGATTCTGCGTTCAGATTGGATTGGAAATTTGTGATGATGGGTTATGGCTGTGGATTGGCATTCAGATTTTCTGCAGGATATATCATGATGACAATTCGAAAACCAAAATGGCTTGTTGGGATGATTCAAGGAGCAGGCAACAGAATTTTGAGGAGATTCAAGAAATATCGTTGAGGAAGATGGAATTTGTGAAGACAGATGCTTTAAGAATTTGTTTCTTATTTGCAGTCTCTTATCTTGTTTCCTTTAGGATGTTTTCCATGTTTATGTAATTTTGATGATACAAACGTGTCCTTTGGGTCTCGAGTAATGTAAACGATCTTGCAAGCCGAGTTTCAAGCAGATTCGGGTAACATAGGGTAAGGGACATGTGTTCGGAAGAGTCTTGGAGTGGCTATCATCATTTGTGCGACCGATGGGGTTCATGATTGGAAGCTCTTCCTAGAAGAGGTTAAAAATACATCACAATCGTTTGCTTGGAAGTTCTTCCTGGCAGCCATGGCAACATGAAGGTAAGAACTTGGATACCAGAAGCCTTCACAGTCGTAAAGATCTGAACCGCACCATGTTTCTTTCGGGAGTTCATCAAGCAAAGAAGAAAATGCCGCTGGAAAGCTAGACTCCATGGACAAATCTTCCAAAATATAACACTTGACAGATTTAACAGCAGTTTTTCAGAATTTATAGAGGAAAAAGGATTCAAATTAGGCAGCCATAAGATCAGATGAAGTCTATATAACAATACTATTGACATTTACTTCCACTATTTCATACTTAATAATTTTCTAGGGAAAACAAGGCATGCTTTATAGGCTCCATGAATTACATGATAGAAATAATCACTCATTATTTTTGTTTGAATACATCAATTTTGATATGATTAGGGTAAATCTATTAAGTATTAAATCTAAAAATCGAGAGGGACAAAGACCTTGTTTGACTAATACATAAACTAACAATGACCTAAATGCTATTTTACCAAAAGATTTACTAACATGATTACATTATCTTTTTTTTCAGAAAAACAAAAAGCACAGAGATGAGGATCTTGAACTGTTGATTTCTTTCTTTCTTGAATGAACCCTAATCTAGATTCAATGAATGATTCAAAGTTCATACGTAGGGTTACTTTTCATTTGATGTTAAAAAAGGTAGCCGGAAAAGTTTGACAAATTGTGAGCCCTACTTTTATAGTAGAGATAAATTTGAAGTGCAGACAAGAATAAATATCTTTGTTCAAGATATTCATATTCAATTTCCTAAAATTTTAATTTTATGTTCGTATTTTTAAATATGTTCGTATTCGATTCGCCTAAAACTCGAGATAATGCTCATCAACATGTTCATTCAACGTTTACTATTTGTTTGTATGATCAGAAAAATGATAAAATTATGTCACTAGTCCTTAAACTCTTTAGATTTTATAGTTTAAACTTCAGAGTTCATATTATGTTTAATTTAGTCTACACCTTCACCAAAATTTAAAACGTAAAAATAAAAAAGAGAACATAGTATATGAGCTTATAAACGAGCTTTTCAAAAGAGTTTGTTCGTGAACATAAATAAATTGAACACATCATTATTCATATTAGTTCGTTTATTAAATGAACATAAAAAAATTATTCATACTCAATAATTTAACTTGATAAACAACATTATATAATAAAAATATGAATGATTCATTAAAAGTTTTGTTCATTTACACTCCTGTAAAGAAATCTTATTCTCAAAACACAATATTAATATATTCCTTAATCCATCAATATTGAATGAAATATAATAATTTGATTGATTTAAACATTAAAGCAATATAGAAATTTTAATCAATAACTAAAGTAAAGCAAAAAGGCAGAAGAGGTTCTTGTATTTTTTTAAAAAAATTAATGTGGTATTTGTATTTTTTTTAATATGACTCTTCAACTCAAAAAATAAATCTAATATGACCCTTTGACCAACGTTTTTCGTCGTTGAGTGTTACGGTACTGACGTGACTATTCACTGTATCGACGTGAATGGTTCACAGTGTTATTGTGGCAGTCCATGATGATTAATAACGTGACATATAACATACAGATGAGTTAAATTATAACTCAAATAAGACATATGGACTGCCACATCAACATCGTATAAACTACCATGTCAGTACCATAACGGTCAACGATAAAAAAGAATATTAATTAAAAGGTCACATTAGATTTGTTTTCTGGATTAAAAGATCATATTGAGATAACAATAATATGTTGAACACGATAATTTTTTTTAATAAACTTATGATACATTTTTGCCTTAAATTAATTAAATAAATATGGATGCAACGAATGTTGGTACAAGTGATTGAGATTCAAGAATTTAAATTTGTAAGATTAAGTTCGAATCCAACTACCGTTACTCTTGATGAACAATCTATAATTTTTTATTTAGATCTCAATTAGATCTTAAATATATCCTAATTTTAGATCAGAGGAGCTAACAGTAACCTAAATTTTTATGTAAAAAATAAATAAAAATGGATCATCTAACCGATCCAATCACAAATCTGATTATAACAAATATAATTTTGGGATCAGATACAAGGACGATGACATCAGAGTAGGCCCCCAGCGCAAAATTAACCTTGAGCGGCAAAACAAAGCTCCATCCCGACAGGGAATAGCCACACGTATCCATCAACGTGTAAGAAAACCAAAGGCAAACCAAAAATATAATCTTCAGCCCTTCTTTTCAGACGTTTTTTCTCTCCACCTTCAAATTAAGCCTTAAATTTGTTGCAGATATTTTGGTTTATTTCTCTTATTCGGTGTTCTCTTGCTCTTCTTTGTACTCCCTCGCTTTGGTTTTTGCTGAATTCTCTACATCCCGTCTTCGGTTTCAAATTTCTGTAAAATCCCCCTTTTGTTCTCTCTCAAAACAGATCTAATTTAGATCCATTGTTTCACTTTCTTTCCTCCTTATTTGGAGCTCAAAAGATGCAAAATTTAGAGTTTTCTTTTGGAAAATTTGTTTATTCAAGCTTTTGAATTGTTGATCCTTCTTGTTCTTACTACTTTCTTTTAAAAAGCTTTTACCTTGAAATTTCGGCTTTACAGAAGCTGGATTTGTTTTTTAAGGTATATTTTAATCCGCTGGGTTGATATAAAAGTTTAATTATTGTATGAATCCTTGAATTTCCCATTGGAAAGTTGGGAGACTGAACAGTTCAAGGCACGATTATATTTAGGCTTCAAGCTTGAATTTTTCAGTTTTTATTGACTTTGAACGTTTTAAGCTTTTGGGTTAATTTCTTATCCATTGGTTGCGTCCTCAGAAGAATCCAATTTTAATTTTTCTCACTTAGATTGACCACTTCATGTCAGTAGAAAGGTCATTTGAAGCCTGGGAAGAGGTCCAACGCCATGGACAGAACCTTGCCGATCGGCTGGCTCAAGGTTTCACTGGCTTAATCCATTCCCACATGAACCCACCTTCCTTTTCATGGCCTAACCCTCCAAAACCCATGCTTTTCGACCTCGAATTCGCCTCCCAATCCTTTGCCAAAAAGGATTTTGGCCTTCCCATCGACAAGTCAACCATTTTCGACATCGGTGATATCGGGAACACGATCGGCCGAGTCGGGGCTGATTTCAGTGCCGGATTGAATGGGCTAGTGCAGCAGTTCTTCAGGAGTTTGCCCATCCCCTTTCGCGCCGAGGAGAGGACGGTTTTGCCGGTTAGAGGTGATATGATTTTAAAACGGCAGAAGGCTGAGGTGGGTGGCAATGATATGGAGGGTTGGGTGGGGTTTTCAGATCGATTGAAGGATTTCGGGTTCGTCGAAAAGGAGAGCGGTTCCGATGGACTGGAGGATGAAGAGGTTTCAGGGTTTAATTCTAAGTCTGCTGGATTACTTGGGAGGCCTCAGGTAAACAAGCAAGTAAAATGAGAATCTTTGAGGATGGTTAGGGGCTTCAATTATGTATTTGATTTATGTTAAATACTTGAAGAATTACCATGTTCAGTTGGAAAAGGGAAATTGTCTAATTGATGCATAGGCTAATGTGTTTTTGGGCATTTTTCTTTGCAATCAAAAGGTTTAGAACCGATAGTTGATTAGTATTTAGATAGCATTGCACCATTGCCTGTGATGTATAGTAGACATCTATTTTTAGTTTTGGACACACCATTACTTATAAAGACATCTGTGATAGTTCTTTTTCAAGTTCTAAGCTAGCGTTAAATACTTTATAAAGACGTCTGTTTGATGTAATGTTAGCTATGGTAAATGATGAATATTTCCCCCTGCATATGAATTGAAATGATGGGATAGTACCAGGTTAGCTGTTTGTTAGTTTTGTCTTCCTTTTGACTTGAATGTAATTTTTTTTTGGGCTAGCTATATCGTTACACTGTT